GGGGAGGCTGTGGCTCGGTCCCGATCGGGTCCCGGTCTCGTTCGGTGCTCTCGGTGAGTACTGCCCCGAACGGCTGCCAGAGCGGCCCGCTCTTCCCGAGTGCGTCTCCTCCGGCCTTGGCCGCACTTTTCGCGCTTGTTTCTACCGTCCTGGTGGGCGCAGTAACGGCACTGGCTGGGCCTGCCCGCTGCCCCCGTGTCCCGTTAGCCCGATGTGGCGATACTGCGGATCTGCTGCGGCTGTCAGTGCACGGCAGTGCCAGCAGAGCGAGGTCCCTGCAGCGGGAGCGGCTCCGGACGAGGCCCGGGGCTGAGCGTGTTCAGGGGCCCGGCCGGGGGCTGCCCCAGACCGCCGTGGCCTCCGGAAGAAATAGAGCACCGCGCTGTCCTGTGCAATACCCGTTTGGGCAGCAGCGGCTCTCTCGGGCTATTTCACCTGACTCATATTTGTTAGCGAGTGAAAATCAAGAATTGAAGGTATAGATGTGCATATGTTTAAATTATCATATAGATAACTAGAATTTTATCCCTTCCCACCAAAGTCTTCTGCTAGGAATAATTCTGTCTATTTCAGGATTTTTATATCCGCAGTGTTAACTGTGACTGATATAGAAGTATTCAGCTAGCAAACACGGCAGGAGACAATAGCACCTGCGTTAACTTGTCTGGCAGTGGAAGGTTGTTTTCACTAAAGAAGGCAAAAATTTGGGATAGCAGACTTTGATCTGAGACACAAACAAAAAAAATGTATTCATAGAGCATTCTGCCTCTTGAACTAGAGCCTTGCAGCGGAATTGCCTTCTTTATGGACTTGCACAAACCTAAATAGCTATAGAAATCAGCCCTGTTCTCTTTCAAAACCCCAAGTAAAAATCTGCTCAGCTCTGGTTTTCTTGCTTCAGGCAAATATAACCAAATATATCGTGTAACAGTTTCCATTTCTCTTTTTTTCTCTGCTTTGTACCTTGTTCTGTCTAAGCTTTGCTCTTATTTTGTTTTAGAAATAAAGTTGACCAAGAACTGGAACAAGATGTCATCTGTGCTCCAGAATGTCAAAGCAACAGTGGTGTGGCGGAAACACCAGCTCCTAGCTGACCTTAGTGAGAATGAGAGCCCTATGCCTGACAATTTCAAGAGAAGGGCCTTTCTGAGTTCTCTCAATACCATTCGCATGTCTTTAAGAAAACGGGCACCATTAAAGCGAGTAGAGCTGCATTTTCATAAATCCCCAACTAGGGGAAGTCCAGAACGAAGACAGAGGTGCCAAACTCTTCAGACAATTAAAAGAACAGCAAAATATGCTTTTGGAACAGTGTCCCAGGTATTTTGCCTTTGCATTGGAACATAGATAGAGTTTAGTTTTTGCTTCAATTCCAGTACTAAGTTTTGTGAATTCTGTACTCTGTGCTGTATTCCAGAGAGTCCATTCCCACACACTTGCACAACTTAGTAGTTGCGTCATAGCTACTAACTTTTAAAATCTTTAATATTTTTTCTTAAAGTATAGACGGGCAAATTATGGATCTGGCAGAACGGAAGAAGGTGAAAGCATTTTATTTTATTATGAAATAAGAGCTTTTCCCCTACTGTATTTAATCATATATGGCAGGGCAGCCTTCACACGAAGGAAGTTGGGTAGAGATTGCCATTGCTTGCAAAAATTTCTTACAGAGAAATATGCAGCATATTGAATTTTTTTCTTTTATTTATTCTCCTGTACCCATACTATTTACTGCCGTGTTTTTCAGTATAGTTAATCTAAATTTAGACTGACAAAACCTGCTACAAGGTAGCAGATTTAAGCTTGCATTTCCCTTTCTTGGGAGACATCAGATTTTTAAATACATAAGGTCTGTGTTGGGGAGCCTGACATTTTCCAGCATAAGAGCAGCAGGAGCTTTGTTCCAATGCCTGCTCTGAGGTCCTTCATCAGTACCAAGGGAAGCATGCGACTTCTACAATGCAAATGAGTACAGAGGTTAAGATGCATTTATGTTAGTTGAAACCTGATATGAGAATGGAAGCTAGGAATTCATCCCAAATATTCCTAGTCTTCCTGGTTCCAAACTTGAGGTTACTTGAGTTAATTTAGCCTTACATGTCTAATGCTTCTTTCAGAAAATACAGAAGTCTTGCCAAAGCCCAGTATGCTCAGTGGTGACCTTTCCAGCTGAATCCATCAGCAGAAGCTGTGCGACCAGTTCTACCACAAAAAGAAGTGCTACACCTCAAACACCTTTCTATAAGAGCATTACTCCAGCAACCAGTCCTAAAGGCACTCCAAGTTCTGGCAAAAGGGCCTTGCTTGGACCAACAAGGGCACCAGAACATAGAGAATGGAGGGATTTCTCATCCTGGCTTGGTAAAAATGCTGTCTCTCTCCGGAGATCCAGAAGAGCAGCAGCACTAAAGAGCCCTTATTCATCACCTGCTCCTTCCAGCAGAAAGATGTAAGTCACATTCTTTTCTAAACCTTTTTTTTATTATTATTTATTATTTTTTTCTTCTCTGATTAGATTATCTGGTAAAGTGAAAGGCAAAGTATGAAGTTTTCTGTCCTATTCCCCTGAAGGTGTGTAGGTATGTGCTGCTTGAATAGTTAAAATAGTTTCAGCTCCCTGTATAGACAGGGACTGAGCTCTGCATAAAGCTGAAACATAGAAAGTAATTTTTTCCTAGAGACATACCTAGGTTCTTAGCTGGTGCTTTTTGGGTGAAGGAAAATGTGCTGTATGTATCTTGCTCCAAGTTAATGGTAACTTTTCCAAAGCTGCTATTTGTATTCCAAAGATACCAGGAATAGAGTTCTTTATAGAGAGATTCCTGCCTCAAACAACAAACACAAATTAGATCAAGGGTTGTGAGCTAGGGAAAAACTTCATAATATGCACATAGGTATTTCTTTTGGTCAAAGTCACAAGAAAGGTTAAAGGTAGAAGTTGAATCCAAGCCTTGTGAATCTGCATCCTGTGGCTGAGTTGGAAGAGAGCTGTTTGGGGGATGAATGGAGATGTGAAGCAGTTGGCCAATGAAAATAAGAGCATAATTGACACTGCCCTAAACTCGTCTAGATGAAGTCTAGAGGTAACAAGAGTGGTACTGCAGGGATGGAAGACTGAATAGTGTCACCTAGTCAGCCCTGTCCTGTTTGATCTTCAGCAACCATCATTCTATTTGCAGAGAGTTTGATTGCGAGTTGGAACTGGTCTCATCAGGGATTTGCCAGTTGAAGCATATCTCTCAAGCATTTGATGATGCCATTGTGAAAGAGGAGAGGTAAATACTGCTAAGCGTGCCTCAACTCTTGGTACAGGTTACCTGCCACCTGAATATAGCCAATTGCAGGCTAAGTAGTCCCTGTAACTCAGGATGAGGAATAGTTGCAGAACTTTTTCAGGTGTAATGTAGTATATACTTTTTTTTCTTCAAGATACCACGGAAGATTAAACCTGCCATTGGATTTGCAGCTTCTAAAATCTGTCAAATGCTCTCCTTGTCTTTAGTTTCCTTGCTGTGGAAGTCCGATTATTAGCAGAAAGAGCCTACTTTTGATCTTGTGTGAGAACAGTACCTCCCTGACTCTTGTCTAAAAGACGTGCCAATCCAGGCTGGGGAAGGAGGGGGGAAAATTCCAGTGTGCTGACACAGTTACTGATGTCTGCACATCTATTAAAAAAATCCTTTTATTAGGTAGCATTTTATTAGGTAGCGAACAATGCATGGTACTCAGATGAAGAAGCCTCTTATAAAACACCTTGGTTAATCCACAAGGACGTAGGCTGCTGTATTTGTGAAGGTTATGTCATTCTGAATTAGCCATATTAAGAAAATAAAAATTAAATCAGAAATCTTGTCACAGGATTATTCCCTAAACTTCTGAATCTCTTAGAACACTTGATGTCAAGCATTCAGTAACTAAATGTCAAGCACCTCAAATTCTCTAGAGGGAGTTTAGCAACAAGTGCTTTACCTACAAAAAGGTAAGAGCTTAACATCCCAGATAATTGCAAAAATTTGTACCAATGGGACAATGTCTAGATAACTATAAGTCAAAAGCTTGTATCAAGTTAATTTTATCATATCCACTGAAAGTTCACTAAATCTCACTCCAAATATTCTCCTATCCGCTAGTGATATGACAGTTCCTCTCATTCGTAATTGAAGATAGTAGCAACCAGGTAAAGTAGTTGTTCACTTACCTTGTCTGTGCCTGCATGCATCTGTGGGGAGAAAACCTGCTGTTAAGAGAGAGAGGCTTATTATCTCATGCTGCTTTAAGGCAGTATTATGTAGAACCACAGGATTCCCCCATATTTGCCCTGGCTGTCTCTGTTACAGCAGGTCCTTGTGCAGTTGTTAAACTTCACTTCTAAATTGTGGATTAGGGAGTCCTTGTTGGGTTCACAATGAACTTCCTATGCAAACATCAGCTTTTCTCACCCCAGACCAAAGAAATGACTAATGTTTTTGTCACTCAAGTTCAGTTCTCATTGGCTACTAATGATCACAAAGCATGAGAGAACCATTATCCTGAGCTGTCTGATTTTACAGCCCTTCTTTTCCATCCCTCATATTTTCATAGTAGTTGAGTTCATGCTATCACAATTAACAGTAGCTCATAACTGTATTGGTGGCATTTTTAAACACAGCAATTGTACCCAAATGAATGTGACATAAATATCTTCACCCATTATGTTGGAAGTAATCTTTTTATTAAAGGGAAATGTACATCCTGAATACTTTGTTCTATTTTAGCAACGAAGAGAGGTGCCAGGCACTTTGCTGTAACTTTTTAAGAAAAATGAGAGCAGTTTCAAATGCTGGACTGATGTTTTCAGCAGTGATCTGTACTGCTTCCCCAACTTGGTCCAGTACTCCTGCATGTGTTGATGCATACAGTGTGCTCTGTTACTGCCTAGTTGCCTATTGGAATAATTGTGAAATGAACTTTTTTGAAGGTGCCTTTAGTCTTGCATGAGACTGTCTGTACTGGTATTGCCATGAATTTTAATGTTAGTGCTCTCTTTTCATTTTTTTCATGATGAAGCAAACCTTGCTTTCAAGTGATTGTTTCTAGTTCCTCGTATTGTTCTAATGTTTGGATTTTAATGAATTAGATTATATCACAGGAAATGCTCCTGTTGCTAGTTAAAATATTGCAGTATTTAATTCATGTACTGCCATTTTTGTTCACTGAAGATAACAAATTATTTTCCTTCTAGTGTTTAGAACAGTTACACAGTGAAAGTGTACCAGATCTCTTCCTTTCCCCCATCTGTTTTCCAGCAATTTGTGTGACAATCAGTTAATTAACTCTACTTCATGCTGCTAATGGTAGTCCTGTTGTTTTTCTGCAGGAAACAAGCAATATCAAACTACTACTATCTAATGGCACAAAACTCACAGTCTGTACATCAGTCCCTGAAACCATCTCAAGCTATCAGAAGGCAAGCAAAGAAGCTCCATCAAGTGCTTGGTACCTAGACAAAGATGGCTGTAACTATTTTTTCATGTTTCCAAATTTGAGCACGTATGAAGGAGATGTCTGTATAGCACCTGAAAGGCTGTGTTCTATATACACTTAATGAGCTGTTATACTTTTTTTTTTTTTATGAAGCAGCTCAGGACTTCCCTTGCTTTCTCTTTTCAAGTAAAGAGTGAATCAAAATAGTACCAACCACAGTGCATCATCTTCTGCTGAGATGAGGAAACCACCCTGAAAGTGACTTTCATGAGACAGTAAGAACCTAGGAACTAATGCTGAACTGGCCAGAAAGAATGGCCAAAGCAAGGGCTTATGATAGATTTATGAAGGGTAATTCTAGGTAAGAGTAGTGTTTAAACTGGTATCCAGCAGTCATGAGATTTAGCACAAATACTTTCCATGTTAAAAAGATTGGCCTATTATTTTGAAAGCCTAACTTGTTATTTTGGGTTTTTTTGTTGCTGTTGGCAAACTAGAAGTTATTCATCATGTTAGCTGGAAGTTAATAAAACACTAGTGGCTTCTTTGAGTTCTAAGCAAAACTGTCATTCCAAAGCAACAGGCTTCTGTGGAGTCACTCATGCCTCAAGAATGGAGCCATATTAGGACTCTTACTTCATGGATTTAAGGATTAGCCTAACTAATCCTATTTTAGGTAGTTTGGTTCCAGACAAATCAGAGCAACTTTGTTATTTCTTATTGCTGCTTTAGATAGCATCTTGGGAGTTGAATTAAACATTGCTTTTGTGATGTATCTGTCTTTTAGTTATATATGAAAATTTGTTACTACAATTTGTTATTACAATTGCAAATGTACAAGAAATAATACAAAACAAATACAAGTTGTTACTACTCTTGAAACTACTGTTATTAATTAGTATCATGGTTAAAGTATTTTGATTATGTATACTTAACATTTGATACCTGTATTTTGCTTCTAATTACTCTAAAAAAAATTATAACATTCATTTGACAAGCCTTTTTTGGTAGGTCATTCAGTATAATGAAGTTAAGTCTTTCAAACTAAAGCAAAGATTCCTCAAGTAGAATTCAACACCAGGGCTGTTTTCCATGGTAAGCTTTATGCAGGCTTCTCCAATTATGTTCACTCTAAAATGAACCTTCAAATGCAAGACTGATTTGGGAATCTGCTCTACTTGATAAATTTAGGATGTGTACGTGTCCTAGTAGTTCCAGTGTTACTAAAATTTTAATGGTATCGGATATAAATATGAAAAGCATTAAATTATGATGTATATATAAGTATTGATTTTAAACTTGCTCACAATTTTTCTTTTTTTTTTTTCTTGTCAAATGAAGCCATTTTAAAACATTGAAACAGTTACTGAGGCCTGGAAACATGAATGTTGCAGTGTGTTTCTTGTTAATGGTGTGTTCTATTATTACCTAAGTTGATGGTTTGGTCCAAATGAGACCCTCCCACCCCATGTTGTCAATCTACCCTGAGTCTCCTGTCAAGCTGTCTTAAGCCCACCGCATGCTTGGAATTCCTCTTCAGAAATCCCCTAAACTTCAATGCTTGATTAGTCCATGTGACCCAACTTTCCCCCACTACCTCCCTCATTGGATGATGATTTTGTGAACCCTGCCTTTTACCCTCCCCAGGATATCTCTGATTAGCTGATGCTTTGTACCCTCCCTCTGAACCGCCTCCCTATTTCAGCTGTTCCACGCTCGCATTTTCTGTCTTTTGCCCCCAAGATTCCCCAGAGCAATAAATCCTCTGTTATCCCATGCAAAAGACCTCCCTTTCATCCTTGTCTCCTCAGAGCACAGACTGACAGCCAAAAGCCACAGAGCGAGTGCTCCAGTCACACCTGGGGTCATCCTGCTCCTGGGCTGTGACCCACTCCTGGAGCAGGCTGAACTGAGAGAGCCAGATCAGCTCCTGCAAGATGTGATACATGAAAGCAACTCTTCCAGCCTGAAGACTTCTAGAGTTCCAGATGACAAAGAACTTACCTTATGTTATTTCTTGATGTAATGTTTGTGTGTGTTTTGTGGGCTGTTTTTTAGGATTTTTTAACAACTTTTCTATATATAGAAAAGTATAGTATCTCAAAGTCATTCTTTGCATGTCCTGAAACTATTCCTATAAAGCTTCCACAAAGATGTTGTCTCATTAGTGAAATGACTTTTTCTGTGACTTTTGAAAATTAAGGAGGGTTAGAATTTTTCAGAAGTTGACCTCCAATCTAAGTATTACTTCAGACAGATCAAACAGCCTTTACTTATAATGTTTCCACCAGTTACTTGGACAATCATGATCCAATATTTATCAAATTACTGGTAACAAAAATCAGTGACAGTGTTTGTTTAAAGGCAAGGAAGATTTTATTTAAGTGGCTAAGATTTTAAAAACCAGCTCACATCAAAATCTATAGCAGTTGTAGAAATCTTACTCCTTATTTCATAGTAAGAAATTCATTATTGTACATTTTTGAATCTTTACAATGCAGCCATAAGAAATATAAACATTTGTCACCAGATAGAACCTTCTCACTGACAATATTTAAAAGTAAGCACTTAATAAAACTATAGACTGAAAGAACACCTACAATTTCAAGTTTCCTTGTGTGAATTCAGTTGTAAAGGGACTGCCCCTATTCTCTCCCACAAATAGAAAAACAAGTTATGCATAAGACTTGGGGTTCTGTGAGAGAACTGCCATTCTGGGCTGAACACCAGGCATCCAGGAATAACCCTACCTTTCAAACTCACTATCTTTAAATCATGCTTCAGTGTTGCAATCTCTGGTATACCATCTCCCAGCACATCACAGTAAACCTGCCTCTCTCTTTTCCCCCCTTCTAGGTTCTATACATCCGTACAAAAGACAAATCATCTGTCAAATTTATCTTCCCCAACCCCCCAAAATTCCATTCAGTTTCAAGGACAGGTTACTGAGATTAATACGAGTAAATTACAAGTAATTACAAGTAAACAGTAATAATCCCTGTCTGTTGGGCTTGATCTAAAATGAGTGAAAGAGCCAACACATTACTTCAATTCCAGAGCCCATGGATTCTAACTGTTCCAGGCCACATTTCTGAAAAACAAATCTTTTCATCCAGAAAAATGTGTTTCTACTTCCATTTTTTAGGGGGGTTCTGAAGTTAGGCTCATCTGTAGGAACGTATAGTCAGTCACCTTGAGTGACTAAACACCATGGAATTCTTAATTACCTTGACAAACCCACAATTTCTGCTTAAGCTCTGAACAGACCATGAGGAATCATTGCTCTTAGAGAAGCTGAAAAGGTTGGCTGGAAAGTTTTGTGCTTATAGGAATTCTATGCTCTACTAGCTCCAGACGAGGATGAAAGTGCCGCTTTCTCCCCTGCATGCCTGACATGAACAAGTCAGTGCAGAGATCCTGAGTTCAGATACCACATGTCACTCTCTAACCAGAAAAATTATGAAATTGTGGTGCATAATCCTCATCTTTCTATTATCAAGCCAATGAGTTTACCAAATATATGTCCATGCTTCAATCATCGAGTCTTATGACAATATACTCACTTTTCTGCATGGCAAGAGGGGAAAAAACTGGGGAAAACCCTACTTGTTCAGTAACAACTGTTTGACCTACAAATTTTAAAGTGTAGGTATTATTAAAATAATACCTACTGGTTTTAGGTATTATTTTAAATGCTTATTAAAAAAACCCAAAACCTTTTAGCAAATTTAAAACGGAAAATTATATAGAAAGAAGGGAAATAATATTTTTACCTTTCTAAATTTATTCCATGAAAGACATTATGATACTATAGATCTAAATATTAAGGATTTGTTAAATGCATATATGAGTAGTGTCCTGGCTAAAGAAAGACTGCAATGTATACACAGGACAACTTGCTCACTAGTAATGGCAAACAAAGGCTACTTTGCAGAATAGTGGAGCTTCTGAAAGAAATGTCATTTGCCTTCATCGATCAGGGTGTGTAATTTTTTTTCTCTAGTTCACTGGTAGTTCCACTTCTACATAACCAGTGAAAGTTTTGGCTGTTTGGAAGTGACTTCCCTAGGTACTAGAGGAAAAAGGGAAGTAATCTGTATAAACTAAGACTACTTTAATGTAAACAAATAAATATGACAGTTCTCATGGAACCCCAATGAATAAGAATTACCAGTACTTTGTTGTTTTTACACCTAACAGAATTTTATGCTGAATAGATACAAACCATGCCACAAAACTAAACAGAAATACTTTGGTCACACAAAAATCTATTCCAAGAGCATTACTGTATGCAAACAAAAATGTTATAGTTATTCAAAATAAGCAGATTTGGATTAACATCACTATTGAATTTTGCAACCTATACAATGATATCTTGTTCCAAACCTACCTAGCTAGACAACAAAATTAAACAGACAGCTGTTGCTGTGCTTGAGTTGGTTTTGTTCTTTTTTTTAATGTATACTGGTTACAAATTTGCTGTGAAAGCAGAACCAAAACTTAAGTGTCTTCCAGTAGCTATACACACACACACAGAGACAAAACCAAAACACCACAGTTGTGAAAGTGTGTTTTCACAATATCTCAAATAACTCTACCACTGTTATTAATCACAGCCATTTTTTTTACAGTAATTTAAAATGAATCCATATCAACTGGACAAAGAAGTAAATGCTTCCAGTTGTAGCTTACTTAAACTGTAGCCTTAGCACCCCCTGGACTAACAATTTTGTGTTTTACAATTTTATTTATGCTTCCTTCATTCAGCATGTTAAAAGAATGTGCTTTTCTGTTACACACTGGAGGCACTAAACTGATGGTGCTGAAACAACTGACAAGTCTAATGTATGTTCTGTGGGCACACTCACCTGACTTCTCTGTCCCTTTCCCTTCTGTGCATGTTAAAACACCTTCATAGTTTGTATAGTTTAAGTAAGTGCTGACTGCATAGAAACTGCAGCAATGGGAACTTGCAATCAAGATGACTCTAGGATCAAACTTACCCTCAGTGAATGGCCTGCCTAGGGGACTGATCTTCCATGAAAACACAAGTAGAACTGAAATCCAGCTGCAAGCTGAATGCCTCTGAATGACTGGATGCAGTTTCATGTGGACAAACTGTGTAGCTAAAATGCCTGTATCACTATTTTGCCAAAATGCACAGCCATTCTAGCCATGAGCAGTCAGCAGTGCTGGAATTATGAAAATGCTATATAAGCTCTCATATATTGTAAAACAAAGTTAGAGACAATATTTTCAGTTTTAATTTAATACCATTTGTAGAAACTTTGGACTTGTTACCACACTAAATCATACACATACAAGTGCGTGTGCACACACGCACACACACACATTGTTTTACTGCTACTATCTTCTAATATTCTTAAGGGAAGCCAGCACAGTGACTACTGTAAATGTGACCTGGCTATTAATAGAAATACACAAAATCAGAGTCTTCATGACATGGAACCCTGTAAAATGACATTATGTCTCCAAGAGTAAAAGACAGCCCTTTATAATCTAGGAGATTTTTCTAACTTTGTACTCAGACACTATTTCCTTCAACACAGTCACAGAATTACACACAGATCCCTCTTTTGAAAGGAAGTAGATCTTTCTACTACAGCAATTTATAACAAAAAAAATAGGTTTTCAAGTCTCTTGGGTGATAGAGGTAGATGGCTAAAGCAACAGTAGCTTTGAACAGGAATAGCAATTACTGTCAGGAGACATTCTACAAACACCCAATGCTTAAAAAGAACTTTTTGATCAGTCAATATTTTAGACCCCTCAACAAACTTAAAATTTTCCTAGTAAGTTCCTCTCTCACAAGCCTTCCATTCACATATTAGAATTAATACATGTAGTGGGTTGAGAGAGAACATGGAATAATTCCTCCAATTTCATGGGTCCAAGAACCATGATAGTACTGGGAAAGCATTTGTAAAGACTGCTTCAATGCAGCCTGCAAACTATCTTTCATTTAGCTTTTGTAGTAACAAAGCACAAAACCCTAGCCCCTTGTAATGTACTTATCTGCTCCCAAAGAGTGTTTTCTATCAAACCTTTTACTATCCGCCCTTAATCTTCAGTAGAGGTTACCGCTTCCCTTAAAGGAAGCATTAGAGGGAAAAAAAAACCCAAAACCAACTACTGATGTGCCAGAGATATTTCAGGAAGTTTGAAATAGGTAACTGACAACCTTGCCAAGTAATGCCTGAAAATGTAAATCAAAGAACTCCACTTATAAGCTATTTTTTTACCTCTTAAGGCTAAAGCCACACTCCTACGCCCTTCCAAAAGCCCACTTTTGGAACTTCAGGGTTAACAGGGAGTATAGACTTACTTTACTTCTGTGGAGTCTTAATAGTTTTCCATTGCATTTCTTGTTTTATATGTTAACTTTCAAAATCATTAACCAACTTGGTGAGAGACTTTCTGGTCTAGCAAAACCTGAAAGGGTGATGGAGAAGCAAAACAACCTCTCCATCCCAATTCCCTGAAATAAAAAACAAACAACAAACCTTGTGACTTCAAGTTTTCTCAGTGTCAATACTATGCTTTTAATGCTAAAAAAACCCAGTTTTTTCTAACGTACACTGGTAACTTCATTGCAGGTTTTAAAACATGCATCAATTCTGTCATTGAAGTTCTCTTAATGAATTAATGGAAGTATCTGCATGAAGAATCTGCAAACTGCTACAATGTTAAAGTAACTATAATGCCTTGGAAACATTACTACTTAGGGAAAATGTCACACATTTTACTTCTAGTAAGTCCATTGAGAGAGCAGAGAAATATTTAAATCAGTAGAAAAATGTCTGTTTGGCACCTGCTTTTTCACACGTCCACTCTTTGAACTTCAAATTCTATAATTCTGAATGCTACAGATTGTCTTAATACAGCTGGTTGCTGTGAAGCATGAGAAGGTAAACAATTTATCAATTTACTTACTTTTTTTCCCCTCCAGTGTAAAGATTCTAGTTAGAATAATTAAAAAAGTAATTGCTCTGAAGTTTGCAGATCCCTTAGTAAAACAGTTCCTTTTAACTTGCCCTCAGGATCTGACTCTCAGACTGAGATCATCAGAGCCATCGTCTTTGGAGTAGTCCACACATTTCTGCACAGTTACCAAGTTCCACAAACAATGTGATCTTTGTACAGTTGCACACTACTTTGTTTACAACAACACGAACTGTGTTCAAACTGTGGCAGACACATTTATTTTTAACATGAAGTTTTTATGTTTGGTTCACAAGTGAAGTTCTCTCGTTTATTTGTCCAGCACCTCACACAAATATGAGTGCCCAGGTTGGAGTCTGTTTACCAACATTGTAGGCTGAAAGGAAACCTTGGGTTTAAGGCACCCAGAAAGCATCTTGTTGTACAAGTCCTAACCACCCCACTCCAGCTCCCACTGCTGCTTCCCTTTATCGCTTTTATTGAAAAGTGAAGTGGAAACAGTCATGACTACTTAATGTTTAAAGTGTAAACATTCTCTGTAACCTATGGGGCCTACCTTTTATACTGTTTTGGGTGCAGCTAATTAGCTGATACCACAATCCTTCTGAGTAAAATCAGTATCTTTTACTCTTATTGCACATATTATATCTGTTAAAAAAAAAAAAAAATAACCTGTTGCTATGATGATAAACTTGTGATAGTTCTAGATTTTTTTAAACTTCCCCAATAAACATGATAAGAGGAAGATACTGCAAGTGCCACACTTGGTGTAAGAAGGCAGATTTCAGAACAGGGAAGACTCCTGTACAAAGTACAAATTCCTGTCTACTTCTCTAAGTTTGGAGCTGCCTAAATACTATCTTTGAGGCATACCTACAAGATTAATGGGGTGCACCCAAGATCTACATTCCCAATCCTCCTAGGGAATAGATTCAAATTTGTGAACTCCACCTCGAACCCAAGCAATGGAAGGCAAATGCCTGTCATGATCTTTGTCTGATTCAGGCTGGCTCTGAGCACGCTCTGGCTTGGGGTTTGCAGAAGGTGGGTCAGGTTGCTGCACAGACATAGTCCTGCGGAGGTGGTTTCTCTTGCGCAAAAATTCAGGTTGCGAGTGGAGGCCAAAGCTGCCTTTTCTCAAGATCATCCGGGAGTTGTTCTTTTTGGGTCGTGAATGGAGATTGAATTCCAGCGAGGCCAAGTGGGCTGCATAACCTTCACTGAGGAACTGAAACGGGAAGAAAATAAAGGGAATGACAAATTACTGCTGCCTTGATCTATGAGCGCTATGAAGAGTTAAGCTTTGATCACTGTCATCCCAGTTAGGCATCTACTGAGTACTACTACTCTTCTCGCCTCATGTTTCTTTCAAGAGACCCACTCTATTTTGTTGTTCAAAAATATGCAATGCATGCACTTGTATATACAACATGCAACCACTTTATTCTCTTTACTATTCACCCAGAAAATGCCTCATTTGTAACCCAAACTGCCTTTCTTTGAAATACTGTTGCTGCTTTGTATGTGTGACTTTGTACATGCATTCACTTGCATACATTTCCTTGTCTTCCCTAGGACTTTCTGATTGAATGGATTGAGTTACTTACTTGGCACTGTGCCTGGTATTTCTTTGTGGATCGTCCAACTATGTAGATCTGGGATGGTGACAGAGCCAAGACACTGTACACAGAAATATCCTTCATGGAACCATATGCAGCACAGATTTTAATGTGGCACTGAAACAAACATTATTTCCAAAGTGAATGCAATATTGAAGACCATGCTACTACAAGGCTAACACTTGATTTGCAATAAAGCAGCGTATGAGTTCATTGTTAACAATTTCAGTCTGTAAACCACAGAAAGCTAAATCTTTAGCTTTAAAGAAAGGCACAGAAAGCTGCCTACATGTGAGTAAGAACTACAGCTATGTGCACAGGAAAGAACAAGCAGATCATTTACATATTTGTCATGACTGGAGTTCCCTTTGGACATTTTATCAGCTTTCCTTGCTCTTTAAAAAGTGAGAAAAGAAATGAGGAATGGCAAAAAGACTTTGTGATGTTCAGTAAGACTTACTGTTCTGAAAGAAGGGAGATCTCTACTGAATGACATTCTCTGAAAAGAGGTTTTAAGGCTATATATAGGTTTCTAGTACCTCTTGCACGAGATTCCGGAGAAAAATGGTCTTTTGTCGCAGTGGATCATGAACAAGTCCATCTGAGAAGAAGATCATCCCTTGTGGGAAATTGTGTTGGGACAACCACGAAACCACACGCTGTTTTTGCATATCTGGACGGCCAGTGATATAGATAATCAGATATCCCAGGTCCTGCCAGTGTCTGTCAGAAGAAGCAGTTAAATAAGTTCAGAAAGACAAACAGCACTCACAGGTAAGGTCAGCACCTTTTCTCAGACCAGTTAGAAGTCAGATGCTATCCTTCAACAAGTGGAAAGGAGCATACCTAAGTCTCTGCTCCAAATCAAGGAACTAAGTAATAATGTCTACACCTTGCAGGAGATGGAGGAAAGCAAGAGACATTCTTATACAAAATATTATCTAAAATATGAGAGCCATTTAAAAGTATATACTTAGAATAAACCAACACATAGGTACTTCTACTCTTGAAATTTTTAATGAGATTTCCTGCCATTTCAGCTATAAGGAATGGACACCCTTGAAAGTGACATTTCTACATTCCCATGCAAGTTCCAAAATAAGAACTGCCTTTTCCCATCCAGTGCAACACTAACAGACCTGCAAGAATTGATTAAGAGGCCTTTTAATTTTTCCTCCAAAAAACATTCTTTTACTCCTGGTACTTGGTATTTTTGAAGTACAAATATGTCCTTTTTTGAAATTAGTGAAACACAAAATACACATGGAATCATTATTAATTCACTGCAAACACTTCAAGATCACATTCCCAAGAAACAACTTTTTATCTTTAGGCAACTTAAACTACAAATTTCAATGTCATCCACAGCATTCTCATATTACCCTGAAATTCAGGCAGATGTGCTGTGCAAGAAAATATAGAAATTTATCTGCAGAGAATCTGAGCCCTTAGAAAACTGCTGTCTGTTTAGTGTAACAACCTTTTTCCTTCCTACTGTGTTCAAGCAGAAAGTCAGAGATTTGAAGTGCTCAAATCTCATTTACCTGACAACATCAACAGCCCCCGCTCGGACTTTGGGGTCACTTCCCATAATTGAAACACTTGCTGCAAAGGAACCATCAATGCTGAATACAACACACTCCATTCCTCGAGGCAGTACAGTCAGGTAACTTGCAGCACTGGTCTGGTCCCCTCTGGAGAGTCAAAGCAATAAATGAATTTAAAAAGCAAAATGTCAGAATGTATTTTTCTGCATGTTCTAATTAAGATATGAAATTAGATCTGTCTGGACCTACAGCTTTAAAACTCAATGTCAAATACGGCTTCTGATTTCAGTCTTACATAGGACAATTGAAACTTACACTGATGCCTTAAGTTTTAGCTTTCATATTTTTCAGATTTTGCGCTGCCCAGGTGTGTAGTTTTAAGCTTCATATTAAGTGTTAGTGAGCTCTCTTCAAAGAGCAGGTAGACAAAACAATTCCTTTTCTAGCTGGATACCATAGACAATTGTTAAAAGTTTCAGGCCCAAAAGCATAAACAACAGTGGACTGAAGAGAGGAAATAAGAATGACAGGACTTCATAACCTCAAGCTGCAATTGGACAATTAACCCCAATATGCAGATGGACCAAAACTTATAAAAGTGTGAAACCTCATGTCCAGCCTTCCATTTTGTGACCATTTTAGGTCTATCTTGCATATAACCCTGACCAGGCTCTTGTACTACCCAATGTGTATCCTTTAAGGCCTTTCAATAAATACCTACTTTATTCTTACTCTGTCTAGCCTCTGTTCTAGGTCAGCCTTCTCAAAGCATCAACACTTTTAGGAAATAGTTTTCCAAAAAGAAATTTGGAAGTTTATCTTAATAAGAAATCACATATGTACAAATAACTGAAATAATTAGAAAAAAAAACCCGCAAACCAGCTTGAAGTACTCAAATTACTACTCAAACCTTAGCCACAAGCTTAACAGTTGGTAAAATTAATGACCCTCTATCCTTGTAAATTACAGGGAATTGCTGGGAATGCCAGTTGAAAAAAGTAGAAAACAACAACAAAAGCAACAAACAAATAAAAACAACCAACCAAAAAACAATGCAGTCATACATCACTCTTCTTGTGGAAAGACATGAAAAACGTTTCCTTATGATGTATTTTCCCCAAGAGAATTGGATGTTAAAAAATGAACAAATGACAAGGAAATCCAAAGCTCTTCCTATCCAACCACATGTTCCCTAAAACCTGTAATGTGAAGATCACATTTATGTACGGTGATGAAGATACTCACAATATGTGCTCACAGCCTAATGAACAAAGACAGGACAATTTATTTTGTTCCTCTTTGAAACTTACTCCTGCACTCTAAAGCTTCACTTTTTAATATAATTTCATTTGCGTATCAGTAACTCTATTTTCTTGAATTGATTGCCTTTTTTTATTAAACTGAGATAAAACATTTTCTCCTCCTCAAGCAGTACTACACAGGATTGTAAGCTGACTTTGGAATTTATTAATTGGTGGATAACAACACATTTCATTTCAGCTAAATTTACCTCTTTGATTTAATCTCCCAAGTAGGGATTCAAATGAAGTTTTTACTTAGTTTTGAAGTTATGTCCTGATCACAACAACCCATCACAGCTTTAGTTCCAGCTTGGAGTTATTACCTGACCACCATTTTGATGGGATACACACCAACTCTCAGTCTCTTCTGTTCAGGTATATTGTAGGATATTCGTCCACTGCTGTTGGAGATCTCTGTGTCAAAATACACCCACCTACCCGAAGATGGCTCAGTCATTATGAAGATATCCACCTGAAAAACCAACAAAACAACAGTCTAGTGAGATAGTCAACATAACATCCCCCATTTACAAGGCCTGCCAAGCCTCGATAATATTAATATCCCCAACCATGGTTGGTAGTAAAAGCTTACTAGGAAGTTTGAAGGAACTTCATGACTCAGTAAGAACTTCAAAGAAAGTCCTCTCAATAAGCAAATGCTTCCTAATATACATTACAAGAGTTTATTGCCTTCATAATTTATTGTCTTCATAATTTATTGTCTTCATAATTTAAAACACTGATCTTAGTACTGCATGTGTATAGAGGTAAGAATATAGGTAGGAACATAGGTATAGAGGTAAGAAATTTGGGAGGAACCCTAAACTAGGAAAAAGACAATTTTCTCTTGCATGACTATATCACCTTTATACACACTAAAGCTACAAAATTTCATCTGGTTATTTAGATGAAATCTTTATCAAATCATAACCTCGCCTACAACCAAAACACTTCAACTTATCAAAAGATTTCATCCATGTGGTTTTCTTCAACTGAAATATTTAATCAGAATCAACATAAAGGACAGTAAATATTTTGCTGGAACTGAAACAGGCCAATTAAAGCCTCCACACTCCAGTTTTGCCCTCAGCTCAGCAGCATTGCTCTCTTAATTTCCACAGAAACTCTTATAACCTCAGTGAATATGAAAAAATGTGTTCACTTGATGCTTGGCTTTATTAGCTGTAAGCCTGGCTTCTGCAGCCAGCTTTAGGAATGACAGTTTCAATTGTGTCACATTACTACTAATTTCTAAAACTAATCTTTACATGCTCAAGTGTAAGATACAGCAGCCACCTAGCCTCTAAAATGCCTATTTTATCTCGTTATTTTACCTGGGTAGGATGATACATTATTTGCTTTTAGTGGTTTATTAACTACTATAAAATTATTTCTCCATCTTCTTCAGAAAGTTAATTGTCTCCAGTAGGTGGTACAGATGGATGTCAGGTTCAGAAACCACTGTACAGCATACTCACCACTAACCAAAGGAGACAGCCATAATCAGGTAAGAGAGACGAGAGCTCAGAAAAAGGTCAGCTATCAGGAAAGCCCACTTTACAGCATACTTCTGCTGAACTAGTGGGGGACTCTCCTCACATATTTCCCCTCACTGTAAGGCTTTCTCTGACACTATACATGTGCTAAATTCAACAACTGTTTCTAGTAGAACTAAGAAAATTGATTGCTTGGTCTTCACCTTTTCACCTGTTAAAGCCACCATGTCCAGAGGTCCATACATAAAGCGCCCAACTAGTACCTGAGGACCATCTTCTGCTGCAATGACATCATTAGCTCGGTGATTAGCAGTCACATTCTGAAATAAGAGCGGAAGATGGGAAGAGTACTGTTTGTTTTTGTCACGAGGCTGCTGTCTCTGTTTTGTTATCAGCAGGAACACGGAAAACACAGTCCTGGACAGTATGTCTGATGTACATCAAGTGCATTGCATTCCCATATCAGCTAGAGCCTGATTTCCGCTAATGGTGGGTTCCTGAATAGACCTTCTAGAAAGAGTGCTAAAGATGACCAAGTATGAGAGAACATTTAAGGGAAAGCCAATTCTTCTTCACTTCAAGTGATGTCATGGAGCCACATCATTATGTGCAGGGCACATACATTTTAACTAACATTACTAAGTGACTTAGAACCTGAAGACAGGAGGAAATATTTTTGCTTGGCTTATGGATTTGTCTTTTATGCTATAAAAGAAACCTCCTAGCATAATGGAAACTTAGGGCCTGTCTGTTATTTAAAGAAATATACTTTCTCCTAACATGAAGTGATAAACCAAGACAAAATTGCTCATATTCCCTAACTGCTAATCTGCCTGCCTCTGGATTAAGTTAGCAGTTTTCAGCTCTTTAGTGATATTCAGTAATGTAAACTCTTATTCAAGGAGATCAAACCCCATTTAAATTTCTGTCAAACCCATGTTCCATATCTGCCACATATATTCAGAGTTAAACTTACCCTTAATTTGACATGTGTCCTTTTGCGTAGCCATTTTTCTCGTGGATTGGATGGACTTAGTGTTTCTGGATCCAGGTTGTCATTTTCCTTGAAATTTACATTTTCATACCTCATCACCTGAAATTATATTAATATTTTAATAAATAGTGTGTGGCCTGTGGAGTCTTAGTACTTGGCAAAGAAAGAGAAATTACACTGCTGCCCTAGTTGAGTGACACTGCAGAGCCAAAAGAACAATGGAAGTAGAGAAAAGTAAAGCCATATGTTCACATTAACTGCAAAGATAAAGAAACTGCTTTCACTTTGTTGGCCAGCACTTAATCTCAAATACATATTGAACAGCTTTTTCACTTGCAACAGAGCCTGCACATTCCTCCAGAGAAAATGGTGAAAACATTAGGATGGCATCAAGTGACAGTCACATTGTCTTGATTATGGTCTGCAAAGTCAGTAAAGTAGCTTAAAACCACAGAAGCATTTTTTAATGTCCTTTATGTGGCAGATGTCAAACTCCTGACTTCAGCTGTATTGAGTTTCTACACATCTACTCAGAGAGAAAGATTCTTATCCCATTTGGGTATTACTACTGCAGTAGGTGATAGGCAGGGACCCACAAGGACCCAATGAAGTCCAACTTGTGAAAATGCAGATCCCTATTATGTCACACACAATCTTACAACTTAAATATCATACACTTACCGAGAAACTTGCATGTCCAACTCAGATTTCAGGACACAACCCACAGAATTCAGAACCTGTGTGTGCGTTATGCCACATTTCAATTGAAACCAGAAGCCCTGTCTCTCTGAAATCTGTGGGTTGTACCTGCAATCACAAATAGCTATTTTGAATGAGAAATAGGTTAGCAAATTTTTCAAGTTCAACAGCTGGTTTTCTGTGCTGAAGTTTTACACTCTCAGTGCCCTTGCTAGAAGAGTGGTCTGGAACCATTTTAAAAGATGTCTTATAAGAAATCCCTTTAATAAAATCATGCTGCATGAAATCAGAGTCAGCAAAGCAGACGGTTTGCAACAAATCACAGTAATGTTGAGAAGTAATCATGGTTTTTAACAAATTGGCATAAATTCTATTCATTAGAGGTAATGTGCAGGCAAGGCAATATATGCACCCACAGGGCATTCAGGAGCCATTAGTCCTAATCTTAACCTGCAACAAGGGCAGAAGGTCCAGACTGTACTGGAACTAACCAGTCCTTTACGTAGGGCTGTAAGCTCACATACTGCTTTACAGACATGTTCTAAATGCTTGAAAGGCCTATTCAATTCTAAAAGCTGTAATGCACATACAAAGCTAAGGAAGTCTCCTGTAAAGGACAGAGTTGACTTTCTTATGGAAGCAGTACTTTCAAACTGGTTTACTATCAGATGTATGCTAGTAATTTGATACTTAATAGGTAGATATATAATTCTGTAAGGCTGGAGATAGCCTACTCCTTCAAAAACAGGATAAAATTAATATATAATACAGGGTAAAACTGATCTGGGGCATGGGACAGGTGAGGTATGCATAAAAGTGCAATATTACCGGTCACAAACTCAGCAGTGCTAATGGTGGTCTCACTGTCCTGTTTACTTCTCCAATAAATCCAGATTTGTCACTCCTACATGAATTTGTATGTGATGCACTTAGCCATCTAACTGACCTAAAGATTACAAGACTGACCCTTGGAAAATGCAATTAACAATCACAAGGTTATCTGCTGCAGAGAGAAAAAAAAATAAATATCAATTACCTGTCTTAGGATGAAGGCCACAACGTCTGTTGATTCCCAGTAGCTGGCATGAAAGAGATGTGGCAGGGCCACTGTTGGAAAGGCTGTCAGCACATCTGGACAATACAAGGCATAATCTATTCGTTTTGTTCCCCACCACTTTGCAGTAACTACAAAAAAATGAAACAAAATAGCAAAACATTTCTATATCAATAAATTTCTTGCTGTCTTCATTTTTAAGCTAGATAATGGAATTAAGTCTTCTGCTTTCTTAATCTTGACATTTTGAGTCTGTTAAAGGTATCTATCATTCACGAAAGTACTGTTTTTACTGACTTTTCTTAAGTAAGATCTGACTTAAGTTCACTTAACTGCCTGCTACCTAAATAGTTCTTCTGTGTCCAAGTTTTGGGAAGCAGAAATCATCTCACCATGATCCCCACTGCTTTCCAGTCCATTGAAAATGTACAGTGAAAGACTAGTACTTCTATGATCAAGTTACAGGATAAGAATTGCAAATGCCTCCCCAACAGCAAAGCAAATATTGAGATAGATAGATAGATAGACAGACAGACAGACAGACAGACAGGCAGACATACGACTGTCGCCCATAGCAGGACAATATAATGTTTTATAGCACTTTTGAGTAACAAATCTTATCTACCTACACTGCTTCATACCTGGAACATGATCATAAATCCCTGTTGGTTTGCAACTCTTGTGGCTATTTATAAGTGCCACCTTAATATAAAACTGTGACTTCTTTTCTAGTACTTTATTTATCTAATTACAAAGAGAAAAGGAAGATAACTTGTGTTATGTAAAATTGCAGAAATTTGGGCTATTGTCATTCTTCCCAAATTCCAAGCAGATATCTTTTCTGCTCATAATCAATTTTTTCACAGAAACAATGTGAAGGGATAGGCTATTGCCATATCCAACAGCACATGGCACCAGGCTTCACTCACTGTTGGTGAGGCATGCTGATGGCAAGCTTTCAGTGGACCCGGAGTTTTCACTGTTTGTGCTGCCCAAGCTCAACTTTCTTGTTTTCCCTTGTGATTGATCAGAAGTACTTGGAGATCCAGGATTCTCCTGAGAGAAAGGTATGTTCAAAGAGCTATTCTCAAGGAACAGACCACTGTGATTGTGGAGAGCATCACCTACAGGTTACAAAAATGAAAACAACATTAAAAAGAAAGAATACACACCATGGTTTCGAAACTAGTGTTTGTCTGTATTATCTTATTTATTCATTTATTTTAAAATACAGGGCTAATGAGCATTTTCCTGAATAATATCACTTTTAATGGACATGGATGAAACTTGCTTCTTCAGAGTGAGAATAGCATGACACAGCATGACTATATGGAGAAAGGACACACCCTACTGCCATGAATGTGCAATGGTAGCTGGGTGCTTTTGGCCAGGATCTTCCTAACTGGGTAGTGATGCTGGGATGCCATTTTACTTCACACTCAACCCTACTCAATTTAAAGTAATTTCCTGAGAAGAATTACACAGACCTGGGAGTCTGTGATACTTCTCTGTTCCTCTTTCTGACATGAGCAAAATACAATTTTTTGCGTAACATGAAAAAAGTCAAAGATACTTCATGACTATGTGATTTTACCTAATTTTCTATAAGGTCAAGAAAGCACAATTCCTTCTACTAGCATCTTGCTCATCCACTCCTTTCTCTTTCTTCCCCAGAAATCAATCTATTTCTGTTTTTTTTTCTTGTATTCAAATTTTTAGTACCAACATAACTATTGTTTAGTAACTCACCTAGGAGAAGAGCAATCAAGACTGCTCAGTGGTCTGATATGTTGTAGTAGGTATCTACAAGAAGCTAATGGACAAGTGACCAAAAGAAATAGTGGTCAACTAATTGTAACAATAAATTGTTTAAAATGACAGTCAATGACATGGAATTTTCCAAGTGACTCTTCAACTAGAAAAGTGATATCACCCTCCTAAAGAGATATAAACTCCTCTTTAACACATCTACTATCACAAACCTCATGTATAAGAATAATCTTTTCTTAGTAATCTTCTTCGTTCCACACTTACTGTATATCTGTACTAACTCAGTCCCAGATGACTTTTTTTTAGCATACCAGCACATTGCTATTTCAAATTCTCTTGAGCTGTGTAAGAAGAGAACACTTAAGAGAAAAACACGCAATGAGAGCTATGAAAACAGGCACTGTACCTAACTGGTGAGATCTTCCATCCCCTAGTGGGTATCTCTGGTACCGTGGGACATTGAATGGAGGAAGAAGATGGAATTTTTTCTCCAACAATGGTTCAAGTCTGCAGGCAGAGGGGTCAGCAGAGTGAAAGAAGCTGTACACTTGGCTGCAGGCTGGTCGGACCTGGCATACTTGGATGAGAATGAGACAGAAAAAGAGAGGTCAGTATTGCTGCTTTACAATTTTCAAGGAGTCTGTACAGAAACATAGTTAATACGGTCTTCTGAAACCTCCAGATTAGCACACATGTGGCCAAAAGAAATTTATCTGAATTGTTTCCTATTTCATATGCAAGGAATTCGCTTCACTGCACAGGAGTTTACAAAGACATCACAATCTGAGATGCAGGCACATAGGAAATGTGAAGAGCAGCAGAAGAGAAACAAATGGAAGCAAAGAAGGAGAAAGAAGTTAAAAATCTTGTAAACATATTATTGAGCATTATAGCTGTGATGCTCAGCACTTCAAATATTTACCAGCAAAATGGTCTGATGGGCTTGTGACATCCAGACAACTTAAACCTAGGGGACAGCAGAACCTTCCCTTTTATTATAAAAAACTGATTCTAACAAAACAAATACATAAACACATCTGAATTTTACCCGTCACATTTTCAGGTAGCTTTCTACCTTTCATTTCAGTAAAGAGGACACCTGACTCTTCTCAACTAATTTCCAACTGTCTGCATGATAGCTTTCAATCTGCCTGTTTTACTCTCAGTTGTGTCACAATTAACACTTTTAAATGGGATTCTTTTATCATATGCACCTCTAAAGGCTAATAATGCTTCAAGTAGACACTGCTCACCTCAGAATGTGTTTGAAAGGCCCATCAGTTGAGCTGCTCTCAAAGTATACTCCTTTGCAGGATACCAGAGGAAGGATGGAAGTGAGAGCTAATTTGAAGAAAATAGTTTAAAATACTAGTAATTAACATGAAATTTTCCTGTTGAAGTGTCTGGAGGCTAGCAGAGCAGAGACTGGAGAAAGTACTACTGGCTAGGAAAAAAAAAATCCCTCGGAGTTCTGAATTGTTGTCTCTTCTCATTATTGCAACAGATTTTCTCCCTCATCTGATAAATGAATGCATCATTTCCTCTAAAGATGCAGTGCTATCCAAAGCTCATACCATGCAAAGAGACAAAGCATGTGCTGAATAATGAAAAGTAAGCTTTTAACTGAAAAATTTAAAAAATCCAGATGCTTTAGAAATAAAACTAAAAAAATCCTCTCTGTGTCTGATCACTAGGCTCTGTTACTAGAGAGGAATGGCTCACAAGCAACCTACCCGAGGGCCAAATCCACCCGTGAAGCCAGACATGAACAAGAGGTAATGCTGAACAAAGCAGAGATGTTCTTTTTGGTATTGTTTTCAAGTACTGATTCTTGGTGAAGTGTAAGCTTCATGATTTATGACATGGAATATATGATTAACAGCAGAATATAACACTTTTGTAAGTGAGCAGTGGCAGCTCTGGAACAATCCTCATCCCCTCAGTACCCACCTACATTAATGTTCCCATCTCTTAAAGGAAGAAACTTACCTCTCTCCCTGACTTTAACTAGGCTCCTTTATTTACCTCCTTTTTTATGAGCCTCTTTGTTTACAAAGGTCATTATGCATCCTGTATTTTAACCCCAAGAAGAGCTTACCATCCAGACCAGGCAGAACAGTGCTCCTCATGGCCAGCACCAAACCAAGAGGTGATCCAAAAAGGAAGAAATCAGACACCTCAAACTCAAATCGGCCCAGATTTACTTCTGAGAGACTGGAATCCACTGGAGGAAGGTCTGCACCATCTTTCAACACGCTTGAGTGTATGCTGAACAAAGAAAATACTTAATCAAAAATAAAAATGGGCATTCAGAAAAAAAGAACACTCCTGAAACAGGATGCTTAGAAAGCTCTAGCTCTGCCATTTAGATCCAAACAGTACACCTTAAAACTGTAAAATGATATTGCAGTATAGCAGCCATGATTTTCAGTGCAGCTATTCAGCAAATTTACTACCTTCAACATGCAAGAGTTTCCTGCAATTTTTCTACAGAACCCTTGGTAAAGTTTTGCAAGGACCATGAATATTCAAGTTTACTGTTTTAAATACAACACAGTATTTCTCCTACAAAGAACCTAAAAGTGACTGACCAAAAACATCTTCATGTTTTCAGTCACAGGCAAGAGAAAAACAACCATTCTGTCACAGAGGGAAAACATTCTACAACACATTGATATCCAGAAAATGCAATGGTTTCAAAATGAATGCAGAATAGTCAACAAAAGCAAAGCAAAGGACATTCAGTCAAAGCAAGACTACAGAATTACCTTAACCTGCTAGTAAGAAAAATGCCACACTTGAAGTAAGGCACAGTACTAAGTTTGCCCTATACTCAACTCTAGCAGAACTGAAACTTCAACACACAGTAAAACCTCCTCTTCTGCATCACTCAAAATGAAATAAAGGAAATAGGATGGTAAATAGAGGAAACAAAAGCCCAAATAATTCAGGTAAGTAAAAAACCAAATAGCTTAGAACCAGCAGGAACAATGAGACAAAGGGAATGCTTATATTCCCATCCCATGTATTTAAAAGGTTTTTCAGGATAAAGGAAAACTAAGTTAACTTCTCCCTCCAATCCCCTCCTTATTTACACCAAATGTTTATGCAGGGTTTTTTTTTGTTGTTGTTTTAAAGCTGATCTGAATAGCTCACAGAACAATGGGAACACCTAAAGCTATAATTCTCACCAGACAATAATAAAAGTCCTGAAAGTGTAGTCAGAGGGACTGTTATAAAGAAATAAGTAACAGAAATTTGCAATTATAAGTATTCATCCATCTTGTTTTGAGTGAGCTGTACTGAAGAAAGGAGAACTTTGTGCATTCATTTTTGCATGTTCGAAGCCCTCACAACTGAATAAAGATTAAATAAAAAACTCCCCAGATATGAGTATGTTCATATTAGACCCACTAAATCCATCATTTTCTCTGAGAACTTTAAGCAAACCTCCAGAAACATACTACAACCAATAATAATGCCTCTGTGCTCTGGTGCTTACAGGCTCCTTTCAATGGCAAGCCCATTTCTTTTACGCAGTCATCAACCACTGGTTACCTGGACAGGAACGCATGGTGCTGGGTTATGGTATCACAGTCGTAAGTGGATGAGTCACTCTGTTTCCAAGGCAGCGACAGCCTTTGCTTCTCATCCTCCATGATTCCTGAGATGTCAATATTGCTTTTGCTCAGGTGTTTGCTGTCACCCAGACTGGAGTCCTCTGCTAAGAGTGGATTATCCTTCAGAAAATGAGCAGAGCAAAGTGAAGATTTAGACAGATAATAAAATATAAAAACGCTTATATGAAATGCCTACATTTATACATATGACCTCACTTTATCCAACAAAGGGTGGAACCCTAACCCTAACCCTAAAAATTTCTCTTTGCAGCAGAAAGGAAAGAGATGAAGACTAAATTTCTCTTCAAGATAATAGCCCAAAAACTGGAAAGAGAATCAGGAATTTGAGGGTGGAGGGGGATGCAAGGGGTGGGAAGGAGGATTAATACAAAAGCTTTATCCATCATGACTCCATCATGCTCAGAGAACTATAAATATCATAAGGTAATCAGAAGGGGTCTTACCTGAGTGCACAAAATGCACATTACAACATTAATGATCTTGCTCATCATGTTCCATGGATATGGGATATGATTTTTTTTAAATTTTAGCTGCCGCAGGGTGCAAGAGACCAGTGGCACCATATCATAAAGATTATTTACTATTGTTCATAATAATGCTGCATGCTGCATAATAATGCTGCAGCTGATGCTGCAGATGCTGCTTTTCAAAATAAACGCCATTGGATGGAACCTCGCACCTCATTCATGCATGAGATCTGTATGCATGAGGTATGCAAGATCTGTTTTTTATAATAAGCGTGCATAAAACCTGGAGAATGAGAGGCTGGAGAACAGCCATACAGAAAGACATCTTGGAGGTGGTGGTCAACAGCAAGCTGAATATGAATCAACAGTGTGCCCTGGCACCTAGGAGGACCAATTGCACCTTGAGGTGCATCAGGCACAGCATTGCCATCCAGTCTAGGGAAGGTGATTGTCCTGCTGTGCTCTGGTGTGGCCTCACTTTGAGTCCTGTGTGCAGTTCTGGGCACAGCAATACAAGATACAAAAGCTGTTAGAGGGTGTCCAAAGGAGGGCTATAAAGATGGTGAAGGGTCTGGAGGGGAAGTCATATGAGGAGTAGTTGCGGTTTCATGGTTTGTTCAGGCTGGAGAAAAGGGAGACCTCATGGCAGTCTATAGCATCCTCATTAGACGAAGTGGAGGGGCAGGCATAGCCAAACTCAATGAGCAAAGAAAAATTAGTTTTAGAAGGAAATAGGATTAGATCTCTGTGAGATGACCCTAGAGAAAGTCACTGGAAAGCCAGCTCAGCACTGCATAAGAGAGCACAAAGGATTCAAAGTTGTTCCCTTCCTTCTTGCATACATCTATCTCCCAGCTCTCATTTACTTTCTTTCTCAAGTGTGTTGCACACAATAATGAAGTTTACATGGTAGCATTACTTTAAAACCTGTACTTTCACTACCATAAAATCTTTCCTAGATCACAGGTAGAACGAATCCTCTCTTCTGTGCAAATGCAGCACTTGCATGGACACTCAGTGGTGCATTCACAGGTCCGCAGGTGATTTACATTCCTTATAAAGAAAGAGGTGTTCTTTCACTAGTCACTAAAACTTACTCATAGTATGTCTTAATACTAGACTACCCCCAGGCAATAGTGTAAGGAATCCCAGATCCCAGGTGAAAAGAAAGAAAGAACAAAAGAAAGAAAATATTTTGACAAAAATGGCAGCCTACCAGAGACTTCTGATCGAGGATGTGTTTGCATCCACAGTTAAGGACCATATAGAGCACTTGGTAATCCTACTTTAAAGGCTAACAGATAAAGCCTTCACTACTTGTTCTGTATATCATAAAACTGAAGTTGACAACTTAATTTTTAACAGCAAATTTTTGATACACAGGCAGAATCCCATTCTATCATGGCAATTTACCAAATACTTAAATTTCCTCTGGAGCTGATTTCCTCCATGGAATAAATCTATAGGGTTTCAGCTGTGTGTATTTTTTTCTCTTCACCTGGATGCTGCTGATGCTTCCTCTCCTGCTACTGTTCCGACTCTCATAAGCTGTATTAGAATTATAGCAGATGGCATCAAAGCCCAAAATTCCTCCAATGCAGTCACCTATAAGACACACCTGAAAAAAAGATTTTTTTTGAAGATGTAGCAAGTGTTTTTGAAAGAGACAAAAAGCATCACAGTACTGCAGAGGAGTTTCTGTCTTACTTCATCCCCTTGAAACCGGTTTTTGTACTTTCATTTATATTGCAGCTACTTTTTTCTACTTTCTTTTATCACCAGAAATATGCCCTATGCGAAGAATATCTGCCCCAGGGACTATTTTGATGAGTGCGAGTTCTGCCAAATGGATTGGAACTCTTCCAGCTGCTTGCAGCCAGATTCCAGCTCATTAAGTCCAGATCACTGGACCAGTGTCACAAAGACTTCAAGCCACTTAACATTTTCTTCAGAGTCATACAGGGGAGAGAACCTTACAGATTGGCACTCCCCTGTCATGACAAGGGAACAAAACTTTAAAATTATGTATTAAGCAGAAGAGTCATTCTTGCTTCACATGGAGGCTATCTTCAAAGTATGGCAATTCAAAATACATATGCTACTAAAACTGGGAATTCAAGAGTAATTTTATGGTACACTAGAATCTCCCTCACAAGCTAATTCCACTGAACACCTCCCCATCCCACGAGATGATTCTTTCTCCCTGCTCCCCAGTCTGTGTCTGAGCATGAGTAACAGCTTGATAGCATGCTTCAGCAAGCCTCTCCTTATGATGTTCAAACTGAAACAATTGTCTGATCCGTTGTCCCCAAATCTGATTAGCATAACAGAAGATATTACAAACTTTAACTTCTAAATTCAGCTTGACTACAACAATAAACTACAAGTTTTGGATACAGGATGTTGTGCATGCTTTCTCTGAAGTGAAGAATGTTAGGAAAAGTGAGTTTTTCAAGATGTAGGTAGGGAAAAAACCTCAAACTCCTCTCGGTGCATGTCCATGTAGCACTCTTCCTATAGTGAGTACATCTCTTGTATTCAACTAAAATTATAAAAAAACACTTTAAAAAATAAAATATCAAAATGTAGTGAGGAGATATCTATCCTAAGGCATTTCTGTTTCTAAAGTTTATCAACTGAACAGCATGTCATTTTACTCTTTGATTTCAAGTTCCTATGCTGCATAATGAAGTCCACAAAAAGCTGAAAATCTTATGATTCAGGTAATTTCAAAAAAATTAACAGCACTTTTTGTAGTGAGTTGGCAATATCTTCTTCAATTTACCACTGTGTTTCTAATCCTTACTATTATTGGCATTAATGTAAGGGAGTGAACTTGTTCCAGATACTATATAAAATCAAAAAGGCAATCTGATCGAATGCACTTATAATGTAAATTGACAGAAGAGACAAAAATATGAAAGCAAAGATCCACACAGGATGCATGTCAAGATATATGATATATATTCAATCAGTACAGGACTTATTTAGAGACAGAGCTGAAATTTCTGTCTAAGGAGGAAAGCAAAGCACTTTAGAGAACACAGAGAAGTCATTTCAATTTTAACAGTGTGGGCAGTTGATGTGAATATTCTGTGGAACATAGAGAAGTCAAGCAGACTCTTCCACAGGAAGTAATATATATTATTTGTAAACCACAACAGGGAGATTTTTTTGTAGCTTTGTCAAAGAAAAAAATTGTAATACTAAAGTTCTATTGAGAAAATGTTCATATTATTTTTGTAACTCATATCATTCTTTACATAATTTCACCTTTCATAATGCTCTGTCACTGCAGCTGGGCTGGTTTTATGCTTTAATCAAGAACAGTTTACTGTGCATAGTAAAAATGGCTTCCAACCGAATTTTAGTCTAAAAATACTGACATATCACAGCATAATCTTATTAGTGTCATGGAAAAGAATTTGTGTAATAAGACACATGCTTCCCCTTCAAAGTTTACACTATACTCTATACTAAATGTATTTTCTTTCTTTTTCTGAAGTGTGAAGGTCACTGTACTTAAAGGAAGTACATGTTCCTGGCCCTTGTAGACAGCCCCATTATGAATAATATCAGTAACTCACACAGAGTATCAATATCATATTTCTATGTGAAGCAGGAGGTTTTGTAGACTAAAGATGGTGAAGCAGGAACAGTACCTGACAGTTACTGTCGGTTGAAAGAAACAGTGGGCGGGTCACACCAGAAAAATTGCATTATTTCCCCAGAGTTAGACAGGAAATCTGCAACACTGCTAGCAACTGATATTTGTCTTCTATGTTTCTTTACTGTCAATTGTTTTATTACTGTAGTCATGGAGGGAAGGAAGAAATCGTAGTTCAGTATTGGATTTCTTAGGATCTTAAAGGTGTCACAATTTTTCCATCAACTATGTCTGAAGAACTCATTAACATAGATGATAATTTGTCTCGGGCTGGCATGCTTGTCCACTATGTACCCTGCTTACTGTAGCATAGCAAAGTAAGAGGTTAGGAGTCAAAATGCTTGTGGAAGAATGTATATAATCTTCCAACAGCTGAGTAAATCCACATGAGATAGTGCACAGGATTCCAGAAGTGCCTGTCTTGTGCTGGACACTGAGAAGGCATTTTGTGTGGGTGACCTCAAGCTAACATTTATTCATCATATTTTTACTGTCCCACACTCATAACTCATGCTCCTCAACACAATGGCTTGAAAAGAAACAGCCTTGCTCTGAAGAAATTTTACTTTGATGTAAGAGAAAATAGTCCTACCTGTCCATTAAAACCAGCCCCATCAGTAGATTTGAGAAACTCATTGTAAACTTGATTGGCTCTACTGATCACCATGGCAACTGCATCCTGGTACTGAGGAGATGAAACAGCCAGCAAAGGCAAGGCAGCCAGTGGGATGTGGTCTTCACTACTGCTGAGACAGCTCTCATCATAGCTGTAAGGATTTAGGCTAGAAAAGGACATGTTATCATCAGGAAAAGTGCAAGATGCAGCACACAGCACTAGAGAATGAGCAGTTACAAACAGAAATGGGTTGGGCCACTGCAGCTTACAATGAGCAAACACAGGAAGGATCATTTTCTCAGAGAACTCAACTCCTTAAAAAACTCAAGGCATTACTCAAGATTACTCATGATTACATATCAACCCAAGGCTTTATTACCTCCTCAACTCTTCTGCAGTGTTTTCTGCTCTACGTGAGGTTCAAATGTAACTCTGGGCTCTATACTGCAACAAAAAAGATTCTAAAAGCAACCATCACTTAGGGAAGCCCCAGACAAAACAATGAGAAGTGTCTCTGCTTACAAGAATAGAAATCAAGAAAATCTGATTCTCTCCTTCCCTCACCACAGTTCAGCAGTTAATCCTGGTTTGCACTTGTAGAAGAGTTGATGCAGGAGTATGCATTTCCTTCTCATTTCTCTATCCTGCCATTTAAAATATTTATGTCACAGAAAGTAATGTTACTTGAAAACATTCTGTCATTCAATGTGTGAATTTCAAGACTAAAAAAGCAATCTGAAAAACACTGAGGAAGAGCAGCTTCTGAAGCGGATATATCCAATAAAAATGTTTTTTAAAACAAATTCATCCACTTAGAAAAAGATGGAAGATTGTTGCAAGTCTTGCAGTCAGCAAAAGATTAAGAATGATTCACAAAATTTCATTATGAAATATATGTGTCACAGAAAATCATTCAAAATCACAATTCATAACCAAACACCAGGGAATGCAAATCAACTTACCTGGAAACAAGAGAGAAAGCTGCTGAACAGATTTCTGGGCAGGGAACAAGTTTCATTAAGATATGACCCAAAGAGGCAGGGAAATGGGCTCGGGTCACCTTCTCAAACACAGAACTGAAGGTGTTGATATCTGCCAGCTTGCTGCTGTGGTCTCCACTTCCAGTGTCTAATATGTTCCCCCCATGTAGGATCAAAATTAACACATGAGTTTTACAATTCTGCTGTTGAACTCCTTCCTGCAAGAAAAACACAAAACAGGAAAGGAGGGGGCATTTTTATGGGCTTTGTTAGTTTACTTGGTGTCAACATTAGCAGTGATGTTTTTTTTCTCCCACCCCCACTGTGATAATTCTGTGATACTTGCTTTCACTGGAGTGGGTGGGGGCATGTGTGTGCATGTGTGCATGTCCTGTGTTCCATTTAATTCAAGTATGTCTGAATCATATAGAGCCCACTATGCTCTGACACAAACCCAGCAGCACAGAGTAGGTTTCAGATCAACAAAGCCAGTTTTGCGTACATCGGAAGTTACTTTAAATACTCTGAGACTGGAAAAAAATTCCAACCTCCACAGGCAGCGTAAGCAATCATCTGTCTAGGTATCCTAGTGATTGCTTCGTTTACTGGCAAGGTTCTCATTCAAACCATCACAAGTCCAAAAAAGACAAACTTCTCTGCCAATGAAAATATTCAGCAAAAGCAGATGATACAGTTATCTCAGACTTTTGAGACTGGTAGCTTCTTATTAAAATGAAAAACACTTACAGAAAAAGTAAAAAAATGCACCATTGCTGATAGCCATAAAACTCACAAAAGAATTTACGCATATGTGAATAGCTGCATACACAGACAATAGTCAGCATGTTTTATAGAATAACCAAAATATTTCCTACTTGAAACTGGAAAAGCATTTTGAATGTTTCACAATTTCACCTTTTTTTCCTCTTTACCCCTTGATAGTCATGTGCACTCCAAGAACCCAGCAATACATTAAAAGATTAGATTTTTTTGTTGTTAAATCTTGATGGCTATTTTCTTCTTCACTTTGAATGACATGATTCCTGAAGGTTTCTAGTTCCTGACCAAATATGAACACACTGCAAAAACAACAGTAATGTTTTTTGTCTAAGGATCATTAAATGCTAGATTGGGCGATTTACTCAGAATCAGGCAATGTTCTGGACAGTTTATTCTTAAGTTTTGGAATTAAGGGAAATGAGTAACTTTAGCACTTGTATAATGGTGACAGAGAAATGTCTGAAAATGAGAGAATTGTAGGTTATTCTACTATTTCTGTTCAGCTCATAAATTTAAGTATCCAGTAGAACTATTCACTGTGAAGGCATTTTTCTGACCTGATTTGTAACTGCTTAAATACAGGAGAATCATACGAGCATTTTTCACATTCCATTTTTCCATGCACTGATTTACAATTTCCTTCTCCATAAGGTTTTTCATTCCAGTTTTCAGAAGGGAAATTTAATTCCCTTTAAAAGCTAAATGTAGTTTCTTCCATGGACAATGTCTGCTTGTAAGTAAGCAGCACTGCTGAGGAGTTGGTGGAAATGAAAGCTTCAAAAAGGAAAAATTCAAGGGGGTCAATATTGCTGAAGTTACTGGTATGAGAAGTCTCTCAGTTGGATTTAACTGATATCTTTCACAGGAAGACTCAAAGAGAATAAAATTAATTTGTCTGTCAAAAGTAGCTCAACCTTCACTTAGATAAGGTGCTCAAGTACCGACTGGACATCTGAAGTCAATCAATGACTGTCATCATTTTAAGGGGCTGTAGAACTGAGTTCTTCAAAAATGGTAAAGTAGACATTTCCATTACCTGTCCTATGTGTGGACAGAGGTCCTTAATCAGTTTTCTGGAAGGACCACAACGTGTTGAGATTCTTTCCTGCTTCTAAAATAAGTTGATTCTGTTATTACCAAATTCATGACTGCTGCTGAATCTGCTTCACAAAACCTGGATTCCCAGTCAAGTACTAAGCAGACATAATTTCTCTTCAGAAAACTGAGTCCTATTTCCACCTAAGTATGAAATGTCTAAAAATCTTTTTAGATGTTTCTCAGTGATTGCATGTGCACCTACTAAACAAGGGAAAAACACATTAAGCCATGAGATGAGTTTACAATTGCATAACACAATATGAAAGTACTTTCACATGTCTACTCCTTGAAAATCAGCACAGCTTGTTTTAGGAAAAAATCTCACCCCATTGTCCTCATGTATTTCAATACTGTCTTGAGCAGGGAACCTTTGTTTTCTTGAAGAGGTTCTATATAATTCACCTGAAAGGAAAAGAGACATATTAGTAAACATTTGTCTGTTACGTCTTTTACAGACATCTATGGAGGTAAGGCACTTTTCTAATTTCAAGACATACAGTTCTGTTCACAGGAAATTTGGTAAACAAACAGAATGATACATGCTCACCAGTGATTCAGAGAGACACTAAGCAAGTTTGGCATCTCTAACTTTGCTGGAAGTAACTTGTTGCCCTGTCTCTTCATGTGGAATACATCAGATCTCAAAATTGCCATGAGAAGAAAGCCAGGTGAAAGGAAAAACACTGAGTGATTCAACACCCCAAAGCAAGCATGAAAGGCATGGGTTTGATACATGACTAAAAAATAAGTTTGTACCCTGAATCTAGGACAAGAGAATTCGTATGGTGATTCCAAAACTTCTGAGATCATGAGGTAAGGTTCAAACCCATACTAAGAATCAAGACAGGTTCTCTTTTTTTTAATTTATTTTATTACATAGACCATTTCAAACATCCCTCATATTTTGACATGTTAGTTAGGAAAGATTTAAAGGAAGAAAAAAAAAAAAAGGAGAACTTGTGTTGGCTACAAAGCATAAAGTGGTGATAGTCCCAAAAGAAAACTGCTATTTCCCTTATCATGCTCCCATGAGAAATGATGCCGTTTCTTGCCATCTGCTGCACTATTGCCAGCCCTTTATAATGACAAATCTGTCATAAGAAATATGTTCACATGAAGACTGTGACATATGCTTTCTATTAACAAATGCGAAAGAATACTGTAAATATACTGCAGATGCAGTTTTGCAAACTGCACTGTTTATAGGAAAACAAGGGCATGCATCAATGAGCTCAGTCCTGCTCTGAAAATCACGGCATGAGATAGTTCCTGTGTTAAGTTCCACAGTTTCTTCATTGAATGAGTCTTACACATACACATGCTACCAGATCTTGTAATGACTACTACAGAGCATAGCGGAAGAAGAAACACACAGGGTTTAGCTGAGGATCTCAACTCAAAATGCTCCATAATTTCAGCTACCACAGCAGGCAAGATGGGAAAAGTATGATTTCCAAAATGGAAGCGGTTGGCACCTAGTGACCACATGAGCTTATGAACACAGCTGCAGGAATAAATATTTCACTGTGAACTCCAGGAAGGTACACAACGTCCCAAGAGAGAACTGTGATGAAAGGAAAGATCCTCATTAACACCACACACCTCCTCTTTAACAAACAATTTAAAAGCACAGAAAAATCAAAGGCAGAGCCCCATGTAAATACACTCATGAAGTTGGGCAGGCACCAGCAGTAAAGGAACCCTACCAGTGCCAGGCTTGGCACTACTTTTTATTCTTACAGCACTCTGAAGTTTTAACAGCAACACTCCTTACACCTCCCTAAGTAGAGATGGGAGAAGGAAGTCCAGAGCACAAAGCACTGAAGGCTTCTACACTCCAAACTGAGCCATGTTGTACTGTTCTGTGTGAGCTTTGTGTACATCAGCAGCTTCACCCTCCAGTGCTCTACCTCCACCACTCCAGCCAATGCTATAAGGCACTAATGTATTAAATAATGTCACAGGCACTTTTCTGGTACATTATAATAATCCATGCTGAAAATAATTAAATTTAAAAGAAAATTTAAAAGAATCATGATCCCTCCACACGCATTTCTCTTCTCAATGTAACATACCACAAGGCCTGTGCTAGTTAGCAAGTGCTATTACTATCTCTAGTTGTTGAATAGCTTTGGTACAAATTAAAATGAGAACAACTCACGTTGTTTTTCCTGTAGTAAGCCAGATGAGCAAAATGCAGACTCTTCACCTGCAAAAGAAAAAAATCACAATGTAAATTAAAATTGCTTTACATGAACATCAAGTTCTTTACTTTTTCTCTGGTGTTGCTGTAAATATTTTGCAACTGACTACTACTATGCTGATTTCCAAAACACCCATTGGCTTCCATGGGAACAGGTCAGCACATGACACAATTGACAGCTTCTGGAATCTATTAATCAAAATGGGTATGCTAGAAGCTAGATTTTACTCCTCATTTCAAGAAAGGTTATCATAAGCAATAAAACTTATAGGTAGGTAGGGAGGAATCTATTTGATGGACGTGAGTAGGTAGAAATACATTTGATAACCTGTAGCATTAGCCACTGAATCTCTTAATAACTATGAATTGGCATAACTTACCTATCAATACAAACCAGATTTTTATTACAAGTATTTAATTAGCAGTTGTTTAAAAAATATTTCTGACCTTACATTCCCTCCCACAGTCCACTCACCCAAGGAAAGTTGCAAGTACTCAGATCTAAATACAAAAACCTAATATACAGAGACATAAGGACATGGGAATAAAGGCCCTTTCTATAGATAAAGTACTCCTACAGTACTCTGGCCAGTACTACCATGGAGGGTAAACACCTTTGCCATCATTTGACCATGACAAAATCCAAAGGTATCAGCCTATCTTTACCTACATCTACCCTCAAAACTGGGATGAGAACACAGGTCTCCCAATATCTTCTCTTTCTTCAGAGGCTCAGGCAACATCTACTTTTTTCCCAGAACCTACCTGCCACTTGAGTACCTCCACACATTTGACAGACACAGAATTCTGCCCCTGGGGCACAGCCTGACAACAACAGAGGCAACATCCTGTTGCATGTGTTTGGCATCAAAGAACAGAATAGCAAATGACAAGGACCAGGGAAACTGGTGGCCTTCTATGATATGTGAATAAAACTCCATCTGCTGCCATTGCCTGCCCACTCATTTTCTTGTGTTCAGAGAAAGCTTCTGCCTAGTGTCTAAGAAGACTCTAGAACTTGTCACCACTGTCTCTCAATCTCATGAATTAAAAATGCTGTTATGCTAGATCATACTGGGGTTAATACAAAAAGAATACAAATAATGTTTAACTCCTCTGATGGATGCAGCAGTACAAAGTAAGAGCTCTGCAACTATTCTCTATTTTTTCAGGTGCTCCAACTATCACAGTTGACAATTTGGTTTTGAAGGGAATCAATGGAACAAAAAAAATGACAGGCTTTTAATATACAGCAAAGAAATCTGCTTTAGTCCATTCTTTGTGAAAGCTGTACTTGCAGTACACTGCCACACCTTACCTTTGAGGAATGGAAATACTTTGAATTAGCTATTTCCAAACTTCACATACAATCTCTTTCATTTTCAGTTCCTTGCCAGGACAATTCACAAGACTGTTGCTCTGCCAAAGAGGTTGGGTCACAACTGTTATCTACTTTCAGCTTACTAGGGAAGAAATATTAATTGCACTAGCTCACAGAGAGAGTCATTGCTGAGGCAAAGCAGCAGTCAGTCACTCTTGGGAACAATGTGTGAAGCTCTCAGGAATGTGACAGCTAAAGGCAAAAACCAGACCTCCATGCCAAGAGCACAGACCAGCCTTCTGAAGTACTTGTATACACAATTCCACAAATGACAACATGTAAAACAATGAATGTTTCACGAAGAAAATTCATTCCCATGGCAGCTTTGAATGGCTGTGCAGATAGAAACTCTCCATCACAAAAGAATAACTCTCAATAGAAACTGAAGACACACCCACTACAGAACAAAAATTAATTTTTATTTGGTAGATTTAAGAAACAGTTACCTTTTTTATTTTTCATCACACAGTAAATTTAACATATTCTAAATAAAATGCCACTTCTCTGTCCCAGAACTGAAGGATGATCTGCAATTACTCTTATTTGCATGCTACTAAAAAAATAAAATAAGAAAAAATCAGAAGGGTGTTTTTGGGCAGTGTTGAAACCAGAATAGAAGCCACCTTGTTTTCCCACAAAAGATTGGTAACACCAGTAGAAATAACTATATCTGTTCTTCAGAGAAAGCAGCTGCAGGTAAAAATAAGATTCACAAAGCTACCTTCAGTGTCATGCTACATAGCCATGACACATATTTGTAGACTGTAGCCTAGATTTGTAGCCATTACACAGCCACATAGCTGTGCTCCTGAGAGGATAGAGTACATTTTGTACAATTCTTAACTCTTGTTTTATTCTCACCTGGGATTACATCAATAATGGGTTTAGCATTAGGGGATAGCACAGCAGAACAGAGTAATGCACCTCAGCACAAGGCGATACCAGGGGAATTGTTATCTTCTTTCTTCCCTCACACATCCAACCTTGCACTACTGACCAAAAAAGGTGCCAGCAAGCTTTATGGTATATATGACTTTCTGTGTTCTAATAATCTGAAGTTGTGTAGAACATAACCCTACCACTGGAACAAACGACACTGATGCTCCTCTTTGGAACACGACCTTCACCTCAGCAAGAATCCTGTGAAAATTAACTTCTGAAGAGAAGTTAAGTATTGTTAAGTATTTTTTAAAATGCTGCAGCCAATGTAACACTAGTGTAAACATAGATATGTCTAACTTGGGAAAACAGAGGGAAAGGAAAGGAGGCAATATACCTACAGATGGTATGATCCTCTCCATAGGAATGGCAGCCAGGGAAACTCCAGGCCCATGAAAATGATGCAAGAACACATGCTGATCTCAGCATGTGGACCGGATCTCAATACAGATTAAAAAATGAAAAGGGAGAAACTTCAAGGAAAGCAATGCTCTGTGCAGCAAGACTCAGCTCCCAGCTAAAAAATATCTTAGCAGGTAGATTAGGCTTCCTCCATTTTGCATGCATTCTCTGAGCTGTATTATAGAACATAAAGCATCACAAAATTAAATGACTGCTGTTGCACAATGCTTGTAACCTGCCCTACTATAAACTGACAACAGTGGTGATTTGCAGAAATCCAACCCACTGCTTCTCTATAAAATCTGTTCTTTATATGAGCAATCTGATGTGTTTTGGAATGCTGATGACTATTGTAGTTTCCATCCTTCCCTTCTACTGTTCACTAAGCCAAATTTTATGTTTACCACTCTTCATATTAATAGTCAGCAGCAGATGCTATTGCAATAAATTTAATAGCAGCATAAACATTACAGTCAGCTATGTAAAAACACTGCTTAATTAATTATGTGACTCCGGGGGGCATGACAAGGGGGGTTAGATCACATGCTGCTGGAGGGAAGGAAGAGAGCAGTTTGTTTACACAGAACATTCACTGTGGACAAAATTAGGCAAGGCAGCCCTCAGAGGAGAGACAGAGGGAGAAACACTAGTACAAGGTAAAACTCACTATAGCAGTCATGAGTGGTTCTCGTGTGTAAAGATTTTTGTGTTATTTTGAGTGTTTTGACTATTGTATAAATGCTGGAGAACTTCTGAGATGCATGGCAGGTGTTACAAAGGGGTGAGTGAGTGAGCCAATGGAACATGAGACCAGATGAACTCACTAAAGACACCACAGTCTGCACCAGTCTTGTACAGAAATACTGGTTTCCTGTGGAAGTTTAATGGATCCAACTCAACATAACTCGTAACTGTAGACACTATGGGTTACTATCCACATCTCAGCTGACAAGTCACTTAACAAAATGCCTAAACCATGCAATGCAAAAAATTAATCATTCCCATTAGAATGAGGAATACTAATTCACCCCAAATTTAGTATATCTGAAATATCTTCTTTTAACAGCCTTGACCTACTAATTCACTTTTTCTAAACATTAGAATTGCAAAATTCAACAAAACAAGACCAACATAGAATTACGCTGAATTCATACACAGCAAAGAATCAAGTGAGAAATAAATATATAATTTTCCCATTATTATACAAAGAAATTATAAAAATATACAAATTATAAAAGGAAGAAGAACAAGAGAAAAAAAATCCAATCTTGCCTGAAAAAATTTACCTTAAGGATCAAACTTACAGCTGCATTTCTGTCATATTTTGCAGTGAACTCAGGGCTGACTGTTAGCACCTTAGCATCACTCCTTGCCAAAACTGCATTTAACCATTGCACAGGGAGCTGCAGGCTCTGCTTTGCTCCTCACCAAGCACCATATGTACATGTTTAAACACTGTACAGTCTTTATTATTGACTTAAACTGGGATTAATGTTATTTCAGAAGAAGAAAGACTACAAGGTCTTTCTCCTTCTGCAAAAACATCAGCCTGAAGAATGATGAATGACAGTAGCATCTCCCAGCTCCAAACCACTGTCTTGTAATGGGGTAGATATGAAGAGTAAGTTTGATCTAAATTACTCCCAGAAAGAAAGCAATGTCTCTGTCAGCACTATTTTCCAGAAAGACAATCAATTTGTTAAAAGATGAAAATATCTGTGTAACCTGGTCTTGTGCAATGGGACCAAGAAAGGCCTTTCACTCACCTGATATGAAAATTTCCAGTTGTGAAAGCTGATCATGTCCAAATATTTTGCTGGTAATCAGTAAAGCAATCCATCAGTCTGTATGTGTGGCATATGAAGCACAGGAAAAGTGAATTTCACAGGCATTTTACAGTCAGTTATGTTTTAAACAACTAAAAATTAAATCGCATTCTGTCAATATACCTGAGAATTCATCCTAATTTGAAGTATTTTAATTCAATTAACTGGACTTGCAGAGTAAAATAGTAGCATGTCGCTGAAAAAATTGACTAATGGCTCTTAAAATTAATTAGGGTGTATTAAATAGATAGTCATCATCTCTGGCAAGCTTTATTACAGAAATTACATTGTTATTCATTCGCTTGCCTGTTTATTTTCTAAAAAAAATACCAAATATGGCCTCTTTTTTTTTGTTAAACAAATTAAGTTTTAAAACAAAGAAACAGTCAAGATTCATTGGGGCTTTGCCTGTTTCACTTTTTTTGTGTGTGCATGTGTGAGCATCTGTAACATTTACATTTTGGAAAATGCAGGCTGAGCTGGCAAGAAAGATACCTGATTGATCAGAGAGCTTTGGCTTGAACTCGGGAAAAAGAGAGCGTATCACCTTTGAAAAAAGGGGCAAGCAACTGGGGAGGACTACATGGTTGCTGTGACCTTACAGAGGGAGAAAACTGGAAGGGCTAAAGCCCAACTAAAACTTAGTCTTAAAACTACTGCAAACTACTAAAGACAACATAAAACACTTTTTACAAATATGTTAGCCATAAAAAGAGGGTCAAGGAGAATCTCCATCCTTTATTGGAAGCTGGAAGAAACCCTGTGGCAAATATTGTGGCCTAGGGAAAGAAGCCCACTTCTGGCAGGACTTGTGACCTTAGATAATAGCTTGGTTGATTTTTCTTTATAGCAGGCCACTGGGCATTCAATGGTAGGACAAGAGAGAACAGCTTTAAACTGAGAGTAGGTTTAGTTTGGATATTAGGAAGAAATTAATGCCTCTGATGGTGCTGAGGCACTGGCACAGGGTGCCCAGAGAAGCTGGGCTGCCCCTGGATCCCTGAAAGTGTCCAAGGCTGGATGGGGCTTGGAGCAGCCTGGCATAGTGGAAATTGTCCCTGCCCATGGGAGGAACTTGGAATGAGATGGGCTTTAAGATCCCTTCCAACCCAAATCACTCTATGCTTAATTACACTTTCTGGTGAAAGGCAGAAATTATGTGCTCCTGAGAATCACGAGTTGTGCAAGAATGCACAGTCAAAAAAAATCAGAGACTGTACACACCAAGTTTCAGATGTTATCTAATTCTGTCACATATTACAAAGATGCATATTTCTTTTCCTTAAAAGAAATAACCAAACAAAACATGCCAATTACCTGCTTTGCCACAACGACACCACAAACTCACATTACTGCAAATATCTTGCTACTGTGATTTTAATACATAATCTAAACCAACCATTTCAACGCTCCTACAACCATACATCCATACATCCATCTTTGTTCCCAAAGATCATCTTCACATCTCTCTAAATTTCTAAGGGAAGCTTTTGTAGGAAAAAGCTATCCAGGGACAAGAAAGATGTTCAAGCACTTTCTCTTCACTGCCAGACAAACTTTCCTCCAAGATGTCTTTCACCATTGCTAAAGACAAAAGCTCTCTTTCTACCCATGTCAAGGACAGTAGACAAACCTGACATATACAATCTGTTCCTATCATGCTACTAAGTAATTAAAACCAGTGTGTCAGGGAAACAGACAAAGGAAATTGATGAAGATCACATTAAGATCTCAAGCTTGGCATTTGCTAAATTCTGAGATCTTGGCTTTGCAAACTTTGTTCTGGGTTATTCAGCAACTGTAATTAAATATAACCTGTCCTATCACTTTCCGGTAAAATGGCCAAGAATCAGAGCTGTCCAGCAAAGTTGTTTATTCACTGAGGACAGCCAGAAAACCAGTCACATAAAAACCAGAAGCTCAATACAAGAAAAATTTCCAAGCTTGTACATTTTATTAGATCTGATGAAAAAAGAGGTCTGATGTCCATGGTCAGCTGGCAAAGGCCAGGTATCCTGGCATTGAGCTGCATTGCCCATTCTTTGGCAGCTTCATGTTTCTTTTACTCTTTAGAAAAATAAAATTAAATGAGACAAGGTGGGGGAAAGAGGTGACAAAATGAAGGCTGAAGAGCTGAAGAGTCTGCTGGCTGTATATGGAGATTGAATCATAACAATACAGATAAACTCCAACTGCACTGGCAAGCATTTATCATCTCCCTATGGAGCTTTGTGGTTCTTTGTTCATTTGAGATGTTTCTGGATTCTCTTATATTTTAATTTGTATGTATGAGAAAAAAGAAAAAAGAAATGGTATGTTAAGCTCTTATAATATTTTCTATTTGTCAAGCCCACATTTACGAAAGGTCAATATAACAAGAGATAGCAATTGAGGGAGAGAGGACACCCCTAGTATTCACATGATCTTACTTGAAGTCTTATGCAGGTTTGGTCTCAAACAAACATGTCCTGACTTCATGAATAATGCAAACTCCAGCATTTTTTCCTCAGGATTTCATCCTTTGAAATGCTGACATGTTTAAGCTTACATGTTGATTACTAGCTTGAATTGAATGACATTTTTTCTGTAACAAGTATTTGCCTGGTTTGCAAGTTAACATGTATAAAAACCTCATTTCCCACCATAAAAAAACAACTCAAGTAATGCAACATAAAGCATATATTCAAAGTATATGAAAAATCTTCTTCACCTTACCTCAACTTACCTTCACTGCACTATAAAAAAGAAAAAAAAACCCAAACCAACAATAACTTCAAACTTAGAAACACTAACAATATATATTTTAAGTAAGGATATGATCTCAAGACAGCTGGAGGACTGTAAACCACCAGGCCGAATTTGTTCCTATGGTGAGTACATGCAGTTTCCCTCAATGTAATGGATAGAATACTTTGCACCAGGAGTGAATTTAAATGCCTAACTACGATGTTTGAAAATGCCTTTGTTCTACAAGAAAGGCATCTGCATGAACATAATTTATGCAGTTGTATGAATTTTTAAATCAGCTTGATTGCTGTTTGTGCTATTTTCTGTATTTAGCAAGGGTGCATCAAAGATTTCTGTCAGTGTGCTTTACAGACAGAACTCCGCTTTCTTTTGCACTGCTGAAACAGTGAAATCACATTCTGGCTTAATGAGATTGAGTACATGCAATATTGGCTCAGACTTGTGGTGCTAGCCCAGTTCTCAACAACTTCAGTCCTTGCTTGACATCTCTGTTAAGAACAGTCAAGCTCAACACAATGAACTGTGACCCCAACAGTACACTGGCAGCACAAGTGACACAGTATCAGAATGCAGATACATCTTATCATAGATCCATTCATTGGCTGTTTTGAGTCAGGTATGCTGCTTCTAAAGTTTCTAATAGGTGTGTGTGAACAGAAATGAAGAAAGGAAAAGAACAGATAAAAATTCTTTCTTTTGCAAAACATCACAGAGAACTAGCTTAAATGAAAATAGAAACCCTTTGTATGAAGAAGGATGGAGTATAACTCAGAGGACTGCTTCCTTTGTTTCTGCACATATCTTCCATGTAACCATGGGTCTTCACATTCTCTGTGGAAGTTATTCAACTGCATAATGCAAAAAACTCCATCCCGTTATCAGCCTTGTTTCTGAACAGCAGAAACCCTGAAAAGCCTTAGTGTCCAACACAAAGGGCACTGTGTAAGAAAAGAGCTAAACAAACCCATACTCATACAAAGGTGCTACAATGAAAAAAAGCCCCGTTCTAAATCTTTGCTAGAAGTGGGAGAAGTAGAGAAATTTCTGCAAGAATTCGAGGATGAATGGTTCTTGGCTAGTTATTTAAAAGACTAACTCATAATTGATATAATAATGTATTCCTCTTTCTTGATACTTTGTGGCATAGAAAATACCATATTTACAATGGGTATAACATCTATAGTTTATCTTAAAAATTGCCACTGAATCTCTGAAAAAGTTAGTAAACAATGTAAACGAGGCCTTGATATCATTTTAAAAGCAAATGCAAAACTGACTTTTTTTTCTCTATTTACCTATTTAACAACTGTAAATACACCGTGTGTACTCTGTCTACCTGTCAGTTAAGTACCATAAAAATAAAAAAATTCTCATGGTACGTAGTCAAGAGGTTTGTGAATATGATGGTTTGGCATACTCAGGTAAGTATTACTTTTATATATACCTTTTTACTTAAATAAACCTGTCAACAAAATTTCAGGATCCACTACATGTAGAAAATCCATAAAGAAAATTCCTAAAATGGACAAGTATATTAAATTATTTTTAAAACTAGAAAAATTAACAAGCTCATTATGCCTGAGCCCCATATTATGGATGGAGGAGCAAGTTAGTTCTTTCTCTCTCCCTGAAGTCAACAAGGTAATTTAATTTTCAAACAACTAGGCAATTTAGGAGCCAAAGCAACAATAACACTGCTTAGGCCTTTATCCTAAGTCCCAAATTCTTAGTGGTGGATCAGTGCCCACTTCCCACTCCTTTCAGTGGTACATAGTTATATACATATTTACATAAAAATGGCCCCAAATATACCAGAAAGTATGTGTCCTCACAGAAATTATGTGAGGATTCATTCACTTTAAGGAGCAAAATAACCTGGTGATGACAAGAAGTCTCTCACATGTTGAACACAAGAAAAAATAACCTTTAGTCTTGTAATCTATTTCATAGTTGTTCAGCTGAGTCCAACACTGACTTCCCACTGAAGCCAGTAAATTTGTATTACCTGGTCTGCCAAATTTTTCTCTGAAAGAGATCACTGCATTTCATTTCTCAGCAATAAAATGCTACTTACATATCTATGTAAATCTTTTAACTATGGGATGCTGTAAAATTACATTACTCCTGAAGAGTATTTACATAGTATCTAAAAAGTAATTTCTTCACTAGTCAGATGTTCTTGTTAACTCTTAGGAATTATGTCATACAGGCTAAGCATTACCTTGATTTTCTTCAAGCTTCCCAATTGTTTCTATCTGCTCAACAAGGTCATTTGAGTTCCACTGGCTCATGCCTATGAGAATAGCATTTTTTCCTTCCACCATCTCTTCTGTAAGAGGAAGAAGAATAGAATAAATTGCTGTGACAAACAAGAGAAAAAAGACAGGGTGAGAACTAGTAATCAAGAAAGAAATAAACACTCATTAGAGCCTCCAATGGGAACAGATAACAGATTATGCAGGACTGTCCAGGAAAGCCTCCTGCCTACTCATAGGCTTTACATGGATCCTATACGCTTTATGGATTACGTTCAGGAAAAACACGAAAAGAGAGGACTGTCTGAATCTTTTCTCTCTTGAGCAGCCACCATGAAAAAAAGTTTATAATAATCACTTTGAGTGTTAGAGTGGTTGGTTGGTTTTGGGGTTTTTTCTATAATTTTTTTTTATTTGAAGAACATTCAAAAAGTAGAGGGAAGCACAGACACAGACCAGTTCAAGACTTTTCAAGGAGTCCTTTTATCAAGGCCACCTGCGCTACATAAAGCTTTACATTTTCATCTAGGGATACAAAGACATAATGGAAAGCAATCAAGCGTACAGCACTGAGAACCATCTTTTATTGAGATCCCATCCAGAAGTAGGGTAGGAAAAACTGAAAGGACAAAACACAACCTGTAGACAGACATTAACTCTCTTGTAAAAAATAAACCCAAAACCAAACAGGCCTAGAAGCTGTAGGAAAATATTTTCCTTCAATTTCACAGCTATTTGGCAAGAGGGGTGCATTAATCCTTTCTGAATAAATTTACTCAAAGCACTTCAGCCTGGCTGGATACAACTCAGAATGGCCTTAGTACCTAGGGTGAGCACACAGGAAAAAAGTAAGTAAAATAAGTAATAACAGTTATTTACTTGTTAAGACAGATTCAGAGAATGGGCCAAATTATGTCCTTTCTTACTGCCTTTCATAGAGAGAATGGCTCTGAGAGTAAACACAGAATAATTTAGCCAGGACATTTCTGGCTAAAATAATAATTTTCAAATACCTACCTTGCAGTAGGCCTCTAAATGATTTTAAAATTTATGCTCTTTCATGTTCGTTCATACATACCTCTCTCATTTAGAGATCTTGGTACTGGAGAAGAAGAAAGATGGATATGTATAAAGGACTGTATAAATCATTTCACAGTCACCACTATATCTTATCTCTTCCAAAGTCATACCTTTTACAAACAAACATTGATAAAGGTAATTTATCAGATTTATCAGAGAAGCTGGATCAAACAAAGCCCCCTGAGACCTGATGCAATCTCAGCTGCTCCCTGAGGCAGAGAGAATCAACCACTTAGCACAGCATTTTGTTCAGGTTTTTGTCACTTTCTCTCAGATGCTGATTTATTTGAAGTTCTATAAGGAGGAAGGGAAGGAACCATAGCGGTTTTGGTCTCTTCCCTCTCCCCTTTAACACGTGGTTTTGATATCCATCTGAGTATGATGAGTATTTTCAGTGATGTTTTGTGCTTAGTCCTTACTGCTGTTCCTCCTGCCAACTTTCTGAAGTAACTAGAAGTTTCTTGCCCCCCTGAAGCTCACACCAGCCCCTTAGTGCAATTGCACAAATACTGATGGAAAAGTGTTCAAATTAGCAGCACTGTCAAACAAACACAGCCCTCAAGACCTCCTTAAGGCCTAGCAGTGGTGAGTGTCTGCTGACAGGTGTAACATTTTATCCACAGATAAAAATGGGAGATAATGGTTCTCTACTGCAGATTTTGTTTCTCTTCTTTGTTCTTCTTGAGTAAAGTCCAGTTTTGCATTGGAAGACCAAGCAGCAGCAGCACAGCTGATGGCCCTGAACACTGGCAGGTTTGTGTAGCAGCCACAAAGACCAGTGAAAAGAACTGAAAACAAATGAGGGAAATGTGCCTCCAGGGCTGTCTTATGGAAGACTTTTTTTTCAGCTTAAAGGCTTTGGGGCAGGTGTGTGGGGAGATGGTTGTAACTGCTGTGGAAGTCTGATAAAATGGCCAAATTGGAATGTGCAGGCTTCTCTGAGATGTTTTTCAAATCTGAGAAAAAATGTTAGTCAACCATGGAATTTCATATTCTGACAATTTTGTGATGATGTATTCAGCTGTAATTTTCATCTTCTGTGTTCAGAGATATGTTGCAGTTAAATTATAAGGTAGTTTCCTGCATCAAATATCATTTTATATGTTGACACTGTAAAATTCTTGCCTAACTTATGGCATGTCATATGGAAAGCAAGAAACAAAGGAAAACCAGGCAATATAAAACATTAAAATATTACATCTCTCTTTCCTATGGATTTCACTAAATTAAGTAGTTAGCCATGACAGGATGAATCAATAGTCAAAACATGTACATCTGCTTCATCTTAAACACAGGTGCTTGATTCTCTGTTTACAAGGCTGCAAGCCAGAAACTTCTTTGTTTGTGAAACTGAGATTTCACCCCAGCTGCTTTTCAGAATACAAAAGCAGCTCACTAATGTTATGTTTTAATGGTGCTGACTGCTGTGCCCACTGTTTCCTACTTCAGCCTGTCTATGAAGTACAAATTACACTTGGGTAGATGTGGGATAGCTTCCAGATTCTCCCATGAAGAAACCCCATAGTACTCAAGTCCAGCTGCACTGTGCAGTTGCAAGAATATCAAATATTCGTGATGCACTCTGTATAAGAAAAAGAGGATGGGGGAGAAATACAGGTAAGAAACACTGCAGAAAATATTATGCTGGAGACAGAAAAAGAGTATCAAGTTACTTCATCTTTAGGAGGCGAAAGCCAGTGTCTCTATCCTAGACAGGTTTCCCTCACTACAGCACAGACAAATTCCTCATTTCTTTGGTGCTAGATTTAATCTACTGATAATGCCAATTGCTTCAGCCCACACATGTGTTTTCCTCTACTAAAGACATAAGCTCCCTTATCACCAAGAGAGCTTCTGATTGTAGAAATGCTTTCTGCCTCTTTTGCTAGTATTTTTTCTTCTGTGTGAACATTTAAACAGTTATTTCTCAAAGGCTGTTTGGGAGAAAGCAGAGATGATACTAAATTAGGAGGACCTATGGACTGCCTCAAGGGTAGTGATGCCTTGCAGAGAGATCTAAATGGACCACAGAGCTGGCAATCACCAGCCATACAAAATTTAACATGCGTGAGTGCTGGATTCTGCACCCAGGATGGGGTAATGTTGGTTAGACCTACAAATTGTGGGAGAAGGGGCTGAAGAGAAGGCCTGGGGAAAGAGATCTGATGGTTTAGGTTGATGGTGAATTGAATATGAGTCAACGTGCATCCTGGCAACCAAAAGGGCGAACAGTGTCCTGGGGTGCATCAGGCACAGCACCCTAGCCAGCTGAAGAAGGTGACTGTCCTACTCTGCTCTGGCACAGCCTCACATCAAGTCATGTGTCTAGTTTTGGGTGCCATAATACAAGAAAGATGCTATTAGAGAGCATCCAGAGGAGTACAACCAAGATGCTGAAAGGCCTCAAGACCAAGATTTATGAGGAATGACTGAGGTCCCATGGTTTGTTCAGTTTGGAAAGTGAAGACTGAGGGGTGATCTCATTGCAGCCTGTAACTTCCTCAAGGTGGCCTATGGAGAGGGAGGTGCTGACATCTCTCTGGAGACCAGTGACAGGATAAGATGAAATGAAAATCTAACTAAACAAAACTTGATTTGAAGAGCATTTTTGCAAGCTAACTATCAAGTAATCTAAACTAGGAAATACTTGTGTCAACTCAATATGAAATATGTCCAGCAAATTCCAAGTGCTTTTCTTATTCTCAGTGTACAATGCATGCTTCACCAACTCCAAAAATGCAAGCATCAAACTGACCTTCAAAGCATTACTGAACAACAGATCTTGATGATTCAAAATAATATTCCATCAATCACAGTAAGTGATCATACTCCCAAAGACAGAATCTAGTCACATCAAAGAAAACTATGCCATCTAGAACATCTGAAACATCATCGTTTAAGCTCTTTTTTGGAGAAAAATTTTGAAGTATGATTTGGTGCTCAAAGTTACAACCGCAGCTTCACACAGAATTTGGAAACATTGCTGAAATCATCAATACAGCTATTTTAAGCACACAACAGAACACTGTAAAGCACAAAGGCAGTGTGGAGGAAAATCAGCATAGGGTATATTTATTTTTTGTTTCCAACTCTTCCACTCACTAAAGCTTAAGATTTAAATGCAGCTTAAATAATTTGGGTATCCTATTCTCACTGAATACCCAGTGGAAAGAGATCACCATCTTTGATCCTCTTCATGCTTAGATGTCTCCCATGCACATTTAATTTTTATCCACAGAAGCAATTTATCATGTATTATTATCTGGCACTAGAAGTCTGTTATTAGGGGATTAGCAACTTAGTAACAGATGTTGTTCATTATCTTTACATAGCAGTGACTTTTTATTTCAAGTAACCATTATAAAAATGATAGCAACTGTCATTACAAGCATTTCAGACTACATAGACTACTTCTGACATTAAAACTTAAGTATTTAAGGGAAGCTCTTTCAGAAAAAGCACATGAAATGTGTCAGAAAAGCATAAGTTTTGGTTCCTGCAAACAGAACCAAAACCAGAGCTGCAATCTTCCACTGGAGGTGGGAGATGGTATATGCACACAACCTACAGATTCTTCTCCTACTTCAGAACAAAACTTGGCATGTAACCAAGCATGTCAAGATCCAAGGCCTCAAAGAAGATGTAGGGAGTGCTGCTGAGTTATCTCAGCTAGTTGGAGCACAGTGCCATAGTCACAGGTTTGATCCCCATATGGGCTATTCATTTAGGAGCTGGACCCAGTGCTCCTTGTGGGTCCCTTCCAAGTCAGAATATCCTGAGATGAAATCCACAAGCATTCAAATACTGCTCCTTGAACAGGCAGAGGTCCCAGTCCCTCCAGTTTAAGTTTTGATAGAGTGGAAAACCTAAGACATTAGTCTTAGAAGTTGGCCATCATGGACACTCATGGCCTTCATAAGGAACTGTGAACAAGAGCCATTGTAACCTCATACACCGTCTGAGCTGGGAAGGAGCTGGGTCAGACCCCTTGAGGTCTGCAGTGGTGGTGTCTTGCTGCTTCTGATGCCAGACAGTTCAGGGCAACTCACACATCCACCCCAGCAACTCACCAAACTCCCATAAATTTAGGTCCATTCACAAATCCTGGAGAGAAGAATTGATGGAGGTTTTGTCTGATGAGGACAATGTTGTCAGTTCACCCATGAAGGAGCTTAGTTACCTCTTGTAAAATTGGAGGGAAAAATGGGGAGGGGAGGACAAAAATGTGTACTCACCTCGTGCATCAAAGAATTCATCATCAGAACTCTCTACAGAGTCTCTGAGAACACTCTGCACGTGCCGCTGAGCACCACCAAATCGGCATGGGCCAGCTGGAAATACAACGAGACTCACATTAACACAAGGGAATGCTTGCCTCTGCTCCAGAAAAGACACCAACCCAACACATTAATGAACAGTTTGTGTAGGTGCCTCAGGAGGATTGTCATCATGCACACTTTAATCTCAACTGTCAGCCAACCAGAGCTCTCAGGATGGGAAAAAATACTTCCATTTAAATAAAGTAATTAAAACAAATTTGTGTTAAAGATAAGCCTGCATTCAGCTAGTGAGTGACCTTAAAAGATAAATTCTTTCCTGTTGAACACATCTGGACATTCCATTCCAACACTCAAACTACACATTGTTTCTAAAAACAAAGCAGCCTTTCCTCAGGACAGTAGCTCCCACTTAAATTCAATTTAACTTCTAAAATAAGTGCTATCTTATTTGGCTCACAGATTTGCAGACAAGCTACTCAATTCTCATTCACTGAACTGGCTTCTCCAGAGAGATTTGCTGTGCTGGAGCCTGGGGCTTTCATTTGAAGCTTGTCATTTGAAGACAGGAAGGCAAAACCACATTAGAATAGGTACAGTAACAGATACAGTCATGACAGCTTAAATGGTCCTAATGGATTTTCATACTCAAACTAATTTGTAGTTAGTAAACCAGACTTGTCTAAATACCTGGATTTTCCTTACATCTAAGCAACCCAACACTAGAAAGAAGTAGTGAAGTATATTCCCTATATTAACAACAAAGTCTCTCCACAATCAGTGGAGAACCATACCCTATTATATAATAACACTATTGTAGAAAGGACACTCATTACCCACCAGAATAGTGTCCTTTGTTTTATTCATTTCCACAAATGATGACACCAGACCTGATTCTAATATCCTGAGCCCCTGGCCACAAAAGCATTTTTCTTCTCTGAGTAGTAAAAGAGCACTCAAACAGAAGATGCATCCTTCTGCAAACATGCCACTAGGTCACAGCCTTTTGTTCTTCATTTACTCCACCTGTTAGTGTTCAGGAACACATAATCATGGAATGATTATATGAAGGTGCTTTATTAAAGAGCTCTGGGTGTCAGGGGTACACAGACCCAAATCTGACCTGACTTGGTTTTGAGCTGAACATGTTTTTATATTCTATCGCTATATAACTTACATATTAAGTATTAAACCTACATTGTTCTATTGTATACATTGATTCCATCCAGGCATGGATTTCTCATGATCCCCCTCAAACTCCTAACATAGTTTCTCATGATTCTTTTAACAACAATTATATCATTTATCATATACTGACTACACGGGTGCATTTTCACATGATCTTAGCAAGCACAAGGCCTAACATTTCCCAGGGCCTACCTTTAACACATTTCCCAGGGCTTGCCAAGCCTAACTTTGTTTCTAACTCCCCGAATTTTCTATGATTTTAAAATCTTTTACTATCACACCTATAAGCTGAATTAATCAGAAATATAAGTGAAGGGTGGTAAGAAGAAGCAAATTTTAGCTGGCCAAGATGTGAGTAAAAGTACTAATCAATTAATAGCATTTTAATAGGGTTAAATAAATTAGGTTTTAAGAAGTAAGTAAAAATAATAGTCAATTAATAGCATTTTAATGTGTCTTTTTTAAATGGTTATTAAGGAGTCAGCATTCATTACAAGAGTACAGCATGTATTGGGAATGTGTCCAGTGAGATCTAGCAGTTACTAGAGCCCCACTATTCAGATACATATCTATCCTAAAATGCATCACTACAGACATCAAAACAGTGGTAGAAAGAACACTATTCTGAACTTCAAATGAAAAAAAGTCTTCATTGGGCCAATGCTTGGAAGAGCAGGCATTCCATTATTTCAAAAGCACAAGGTGGGAGGCACCACAAAAAAAACCAACGATGTATGGGGGGTTGGACAGAGGGAGGAAGGGAATGAGGGATGGAGAGAGAGAGGAAGAACAAAAGGAGGCAGGAAGCTACAAAATTTAAAAAATTTAAAAATTTCAAAGGTACTCCAAAGCAAACAGCAACTCCCTGGGAAAGAGTTGCCACGACCCTGGCTGAAAATCAGTAAAAGTACTCACCCCACAAAAAAAGCTCATGGTTCCAGGGACCTTGGAGTTTGATGCAGAATGTGAAGGGAGGGCAGGGAAAAGTGTCACAAATATCCAGGCATAAATTCTGGCTATGAGTAAAGATCTTGGGACCATCAATTTTATTATATTGCACTGGAAATGCTTCTAGATTTACAAGCAGCTTAAACGTAACCACAGTCAGCAGCACAAATCTGTGTACAGCTCACTGCAACAGCTCTCCGCATCTAGGCTGATTTGCTGGCTACATCACATTGCATTGCATTGCCCTAATACATTGGTCCTATTGAGTCTGCTTCCTTCTGTGCCAGCAGATTAGCATTAGCCACCTTCAGAGGACTCTATTAACATTTCTTGATTTTATTAGACACTGGCATTGCCTGGACTCACTGATTTGATTTACACTGTCAACTGCTGCACATTTTATTTTATAATTTGGCTTCAGAGAATGAAAAGACCAGCCCTACTTCAGAACACAAGTGAGCTCCTTGGTAATGACACTTTATGTTTCTATGGCAGTGAACCTAGCCTTTATCAGGCTACTCTTAGCAGCCAGACGTCAGAAATTTTTGCACCCAGGGTAGCAACTTGCATTCCATTTCAGTTGTTCAGTATCACAATTTCTGACCAAAGAAGGGGAAAGCATGTAGAAATGCTTTGAACACTACATGACCAATTTGCAAGTCACAATAGTTGAACTGGAAGCACATACAGTAGTTCCCCATAAGCTGCTGGGGCAGCACAACAGAGGGATGGTAGGATTGTAAGTGTAGGTAGGATTGTAAACACTCCAAGAGGCAGAAGGAGAGCCCACAGAAACGCACAGGTGCTTTTCTTCTAGAAGAAGCAAAAGTACAGTTTCCTATCTAACCTGCTCTCTCTGCACAGAACTGCAAGTTGTGACAGTCACCTGTCCCAGAGAGAGCTGGCAGGGGTTTGCCCTGAGCACAGAGCCACAGAAAAAGCCATGGAGAAGACAAGAGCACAGCGATCCTCACAGCACTATGAACAGAAACAGAATGCTCTAGTTAGGCTAGCACTAACTGTAAGTAATTGTAATTAAGATTACAATCAGAGATTGTATCCCTGTTTTTTTACTGAATCCTCAGTAAAAAAAAAGACTTGGTTTTTTTTCTTGAATAAAGAACACCTGGAATTTCATTGGTACTTTGCTGCATCAGTGACCTGGTGACCTGACAAGTGCTGTGGTGCATGTTTGATGTTGATTTCCTTACCCCTATGTATAAGTAAGGATCACAACTGAAATCTATATCCTGCATAACAGCTTCCATAAGGGGAAGAGCCATAGATCACAATCAGCTGCAACCTCTTGTGATAAGCAGCAAAATAGCCAGGAACTTATATGACTAAAAAATTGCTACAGAAATAGTTCCATATTCTATTATGCAATACCTGTACTTTGGTTGAAGGCAAACCAGACTGTACATCATCCTAATTCAGATATGAGGCAACTGTCATCCCTGGTGTTTAGTGACTGTACATAATTCCAGCAAACAGCAGAAGAAACAGTTCCCACTCACATATCAGCAGTTTCTAATGCTGTCCATCCAGGGAAGGAACAACCCACTAAAATGATGCAATTGCTGATACGTTCCACAAATAGACCTAGGGAGTGGAACAGTCATGGAAAATGCCAATTCCACTTTCACCCACAAACACCAGCAGGGCTTGTTCTACCATAGTTCCATAAGAAACAGCAGTTGAAAAGTATAATTAAGTATAAATAAAAGAAGAATCAGCTCTAGCTTCCTCTGCTCAGGAGGCATAAACCCAAATTTTTCCAAAGGTGTCTCTTTCTTTACAAACTGGCAATGATAAGACAATTAAGCAGTGCATGAGCACACTTCATTCCATGTGATAGGAGGGTGATTCTAAACGAGAAAAATAAAAAAAAAAAAGGAAAACACAAGAGGAATTAAAGTGACCTTGCTGCTCTGTAGTCAGCATTCTCAGGACTAAGGAAATGGAAACAGAAAATCAGGTAAGAAGTGAAATAAGGCTGAAGAGGCTCTGAAAAGCAGTTTAAGAAGCAAAGGTTTTCTCCTGAAAACTGAATAGCTAAAGCTGTCGATTCCCAACTTTAATCACTTTCCTGTATTATTTGGAAGGTCTAGGGTCCAAAACATACCCAATCCTAAAAGTCCCAAGCATCCTAAGAAAGAGCAGCTCATCACTGTCACTCAGTAGTAAGCACATGTTCTGCAACCAGTACCAAAAATGCTGTTTCAATATTATTTGTTAAGCAAGGATAGTATTTAAAATGCATACCAAGTTAGGAGAAAGAAAAGGCATCTACTTTCTATTTCCATTCCAGTAACTGGCATCAATTCTCACAGCACAAAGCTGTTAACAGCACACCATACAGGCCCCAGATCCTTAGGTGGCATAGACCTGGAGTTAAAAAGTGTGGACAGCACAACAATATCTTCTGGGAAAAGGATGGAACATTTTCCTGTGGAAATTATATCCTTTAAGCACACCTTGCACCAAGGCACAGGAATTGAATCTGTGACTGGATCTAATGAGCAGAAAATTAATTTTCAAATGCAGCAGGAAGTAAGCCTAGCCCTGCTGTGAAACCACAGCCATGTTACCTTTCTTCACTGGATCTGCCTACTCCTCATTTTGAAATAGCTTTTAAAAACACTGCAACTGAAAAAAAACCCCATTACTGGAGTCATCACATCACTGTTTACAGAAGCACTTCATGAGCAGGACCAGTACATATACTTTGGGAATTAAAGAATAGTGATTTCATTCCTGAAACATACTTGTGAGGGCAGACTAGCAGCACAGTAGGCTCAGTCCAGAAGCATCAGCTTAAGAGTCACTCCAGCATCTCCCTCTTCTCCTTACCGATGCACGTGTCCCTGGCTACCTTGTCAGGCAAGCAGGACAGAGGGAAAGTAAGCAGGATGATCCAAATACCAGTCATACCAGCCCCTTGTGTACTGGCAGCATCACAGGCCATTTCCAGAGGCCATCCAAGCTCACAGCAGACTTGCCAGGAAGATGCATTCAAGCAGCTTGGGATAAGAGCAGCAGTTTTCACTGGATGCAATTACAGCAATGGGCTTTACTGTAAAACTAATCCAGTATTATTCACTTCATATTATCACAAATTTCAAGCTTTGCAGCAGGCCCAGCATTCTTCTGTATCTTTTGCTTGGTAACATTTCCCAATTTCCAATCAAGCCCAGACATAAACACATGCCAGAAGACAGGCAATCATAAAGAAGGAACTCCTAAATATTATCACCACACCTAAATAGAGATGAAACATCACACAGTGTTCTCATAGCTCAGACTGGGGACTCAGTCTTTTACACAGTCAAATATTGAGGACTGAATTAATCTCAATTAAAAAAATAATAAAAAAATAGACTCTATTGCACAGATTAAAACATCTCCACTTGTCAAAACTTGTTTTAGAAATGTACCATTTTGAATTCAGGGGCAGTTTTCCTAATAAAATTAAAAAGCACAAGTAATTTTTCCATTTGGATAGAGATGCTGGGTAGGAGGAATGACCTTCACTATTGCTACTGACTGCTGTTGCATAATAATACTTCTTTCTGTTTTGCTGGTTTCAGATGCTTCTTGCCTACCCATTAAGTGATTTAACTGAGCTACCCACACAGTGTTACCTAGTGACTATGCAGTTAAGACTTAACTGGAGGCCAAGTTCACCCACTATTATTTTCTAGTTATGTTGTATTTCTTATTTGGAAAACATAAAACTGAAGATATATGTTACAAGGATGCAAATTTAACTACTGGATTCAGTAAGGTTCAGGAGCTCAAAAAAGACAGAGGGAGATGCTGATCAGAGGAAGCCCTTGCCTGCACACTGACCACCAAAAAAGATGGACCATATATGCCATCACTGACAGCAAGGCCACATAGAACTCATCCAAAATCACCAAATGAATCTGCATCAGAGACTGGAACTGAAATTTAATCAGTTGAAGCTGAAATGAAACACACTCAGTGGAAGGGGCTGTGGGGGGAAATGGAGTGGGAGGCCTACAAAACTGTGAGGCTAAAGGAGGAGAGAGGGAAAAACAGCAGTGGGAGGCAAGAGGGAGGGAGTGAAAAATGGGATAGGGAAGGCCAAAAGGGGATGGGGAAGAAAAAAGTGGAAGATCAAGTCAAGATGTCAAGTTCCCTTGTCAAAAATACATGGCTGACAAAACCAGACATAATTACAGACAGAAAAAAGTCCACACAAATTGCAGGTTCTCTTGTCAAAAAGTAAAAGATCTGAGTGATGGAGCAGTCCAGATGCCACTGTGGTCAGAAGTATCCAAAAGAACCAGCTCCTCTCTCCCATTCCTCATTCAGTGTCTTTCATCTCACAGCAATTTCACAGCAAGAAATCCCTGGTTGTCTACTCTGTACATCCCTCCACTGTCAGTTCTGCAGCAGATGGTAAGGATGGGCATGTATTTGAATACTGAGTTGAGAAAACAAATCAAGAAACTAAGCCATGCAGGCCTTTAAGACCCTATTTTAAGGTACCAGTGACATTTACAGTCTTGCACTTTACAGGATTATTAGTGAGGTGAAGGAAGAGAGAAAATAGGTTTAACATGACTGTTGAGACTTCAAATCCTGGATCAAACTTTCTTGTAAACATGGTACATCTCCCAGAGCTGTTTCTTGACACTTCAGATGCCAGCTTTCCCAGCAGAAATTAACTTCACCCTCCCTCTCAGCAATGCCATCACCTCCTCCAAAATGACTCCCCAAAACCAGAGAAGATATGAATATTCTCTAACCTTTTCCTGCAGTGACTGTAGGTGGATTGCCTGCAATACAGCTGAGAGTCTCTACTTTTCACAGTGCAGAGATTCTGGTTTTTTGAGACTCTGGCATTTTTGAGTCACTGTGCTCTGTTAAAAGTGAAGTCAGAGCTGAAGAGCAGATACCCTACCACTCCCACAGGGACATGTCAGGTAGTAATCTACAATTGTCTCTGTGATTTTACAACCAACACTTGCAAATGCCCAAGCATTTCTGCACTTCTTCAAGTGCTCAAGGTCTGGAATTCACTAAGTGAGATCTGGTTACTCAAATGTCAAGTGTGGGCCATGTCTAAAAGCCCTTTACAAGCACAGCTGTCATTCAACAGTGAGCAAACAGCACATTTTCACCACAATTTTGGTCTTCCTGAGGTGAGGCTACAGCACTGGCAGGAGCTGCAAGGTAGGATACATACAAGCAAAACAATTTTTTTATATTTGTGCATATTGCAGCTCACATTGATAAATTTGGTAGGCTCAATTTATAAAAGCAGCATGTTTTCCCTATGCCTAGACCAGATAGTTTCTTCCAGACCTCCTCTGTGAATGATCTACTCTTACTTTTCTTTGCAATAAGTAGTGACATCACAAAGCTCCTTTCAAAATACATACTCTGTCAGTGAAATCATATCCAAGACAAGTACTATGCTTTAAAATTCCTGTGCAAAATTTTATTTGAAACTATGTATGCAAGCTGCATTACTCATGTATCACAAAAAGCAAAAGCAATGCCTCATTTTCTTATCAAACCTAAAAAGACTGCAAACTAATGACAAGGAAAAAAAAACCCATGAGACTTTCCCCCCATTTGATTACATCTTCATCTTCCAAAGACAGAAAAGAAACATTTTGTTCAATCCTATATTCATATCTTCTGAAATTATTAATGCTCTCATATTCCGGAGTGTTACATCTCCAGGCTGCCACCAATCCATGCTTATTTGGGGGGAGTAAAGAAATAAACAATGCTGGAAAAAAACCACCCTTTTGGATTTTGCTTTGAAATTGCCATGCAGATGTAAAGCTGTGTCCAGACCTGGCACCAAACACCAGGCAAGTGTCACATACTGACCATTCAGTCATAGCAGCTAGGCCTTCACCTGCAGCAGCAATGGGTTCTGCATGCAACCTATAAGGAAACTCCTTCTGCATCAGCAGCTGCACTCTCATCTGTTCTGGCCTTCGTGCTCACAGAACATATGCTACCTCGTCCAGGCTGCACCTGCCACCATGCACGGGACATCAGGGTGCTGCTGCTGCTGAGCATCTTCAAGCCCTGATCTCAGCCCCAGCCAACCGGCCTCCAACCTCCACACTGCTCACGCTCCAGAGGAAGCACGAGTTACGTGAATGGGCAAGGCGCAGCGCAGGCTTTCGTCAAATTCCACCCAACAGCACACCTGTATTGTTCTCCGACCGCGGCTGCTGCCTCCCGGTCGGTTCCTCCCGAGTGGGCGGCAGCCACGGAATTCTCCGGGAGCTGGGAGAGACCTTTCCCGGAGCAGCACGGCCGGAGCGCGGGGAGGAGGCCGAGCAGCGGCGACGGCCGTGGGCGCTTGCGATGCCTCCCCGCAGACCCGCACGGCCGTGCCTTTTCCACGGCACCGGCAGATGCGGGCGCCAAAAGCAGAACGGGCCGTGCTCTATAACGACGAGGAGGTCAAACGTACCCGCGCCTCGTCCACACGAATCTGCACTCACCGCTCCGCGGGGCTGCCACGGAACCGCGGGTGGGCGGGGAACGCGCCTCATCCCCGCCGCGCCCCCGGGGCCCGCGCTCCCCTCGGGACTGCCCCATTGCGCCGCGTGGCTCAGCACTTACCTGGGAGTGGAGCTTTCGCCATTTCAGGGCTGCCCGCTAGCAGCCAAGCCTCAGCCGTGTCAGGTGCTCGCCCGCTGGGCGCTCCGGCACGCTG